GTGGTTCTTCCCATTTTTGGTGAGTGTTTCGTATTTGGTAGAGGGGGAGGGTTTCTTACTTGATAGTTCAGACCTCTCAACGAGAGCACCAAATGATGGAAAGTCTACCCGGGGGGTATCTTATCCGAGGGGTTATTGCGGGAATAACTAGAGAGAAGTCAGAGAAAAATAGGAGGAGAGAGAGTCGATTTTATTAAATGAACTCAAGATGTGGAGTTGGATCTGGGATGTCGATGGTTTACAAGGAGGATTGGGCTGCTATTTATAGTAGTAATAAATGCGATGAGAATACACGTGTCAGTAATCCAACGGCCGAAGGGTCACATCAGCCGGTTGGCACCGGCAGTGGTACGTCCACCGCATTGAATGCGGTTGGCGGATGTGACGTGGCATTAAATGCGGTGGTTGGCTGTCTCTAAAAGGAATCTCCGATGATTGAGCGTGTTTGGCCGAAGGCTCCCTGTGTAGCCGAGGGCTCCATGTAATCGAGGACCCCTGTGTGGCCGAAGGCATGTCGTGACCGAAGGAGGATTTCAGCCGAAGGCCTCTCCGATGCCGAGGGCTTGATAGTGCCGAAGGCTCATGTTTTTCGCCGTTTTCTCCCAGTAGCTTCTTATGCCAGAGAAGGCTATCCTGCGAGGTTTGGAGCCTTCGGCCAAGGAAGCCGAAGGCACCCCAGTGTGTGTTCTGGGCTATGTTGAGGCTTGGGCCGCCGTATTTGGGCCTGAGTTGTTCTCTGGGCCCAATGGACTTGTGTAGGAGAAGTAGGAGTCTACGGGCCGGGGGCTCCCGGGCCATATACTCCATCACATAGATTAGTGCTAGTATTGAAATTTACTTTGAGGAACAAGCGACTTTAGTGCCATATACTTGACATCCTAGAAGAAAGGGATCTTCTAGACCGTTGTTCTAGTCAGTATCCCATGGAGCATAATTTGAAGGTATGACCTCAACCAACCGTGGATGCTTCCTCGTATCATCACTTGATTGGTCGTCTATTATACCTTACTGTTACTCGATCATCTCAACATCGTTTGCTTTGTCAGTCAAATTTCGATAATTTTCAGTCAACCATGTGATGTTTTTTATACCGTTGTATGTGTCTTTCGCTATTTGAATTGAAACAGACTCCAGGACAAGGCATTTTCTTATCTGCACACTGATTTATCTTTAAAAGGCTATTTTGATGCAGACTAGGTGGGGTGCTCTTACAACCGTCGTTCTAGCACTTGATACTTTATCACTCTTGCAGAACAAAGAAATAGTATGTTGTTTCACGATTTTCCTTCGAAGCAGTTGAAATTTTATGGCTAAGATGGTCAGTTTGAGACATAACAAATCCTTCATATGGTCCCACGTGTCTCTTTTTGACAACCAAGGAGCTCAACATATTGCACTTAATTCTATTTTTCGTGAACGTACCAAACATGTGTAAGTGAATTGTTATTTTGTTCTTGAATGGGTTGCTAGAGGTAAAATTCAGCCATGTTACATTTCTACAACACACGAAATTGCTGATATTTTGACACAAATCGTTTCCATTTCTCAAGAACAAATTAGGTGTTTGCGACCTTCACACGCCAACTTGAGGGGGAGTATTGAGAGTATTGAGACCCTTGTTATTTTTCATTATGTGTAGTGTCCTTTAATATTAAGCATATATATATATACATACATACATACATACATATATATATTAATAGGGGTGAGATCACATACTAATCATTCCTCCCATGCTAACCTACAAACTATCAAAAACGGTGCATCTTTACATTATTTGTACTGCATATTGAAGTTCAAAGTGTTGCATATTATTTGTACTGCATATTAAAGTTCAAAGTTTTGCATATTGTTTTTATTGCATATTGAAATTCACAGTGTGCATCTTTACATTATTTGTACTGCATATTGAAGTTCAATGTGTTGCATATTATTGAGTTAGTAAGTTAGTATTTTAAGCATGGTTAGTATATATATATATATATATGCATGGGTTGCATGACATTCCCTCCATTATTCACATTCCTCATTGGCATATGTATATAGAGGATGTACCGTAAGCTATAAGCGATAATGCATGCAGTGAGTTATTTCCTCCACATGGAATCCAGTTCACGCAATACTAGTTCTTAGTTTTATCATTAGATTTTAATTTTATCATGTATGGAGAAATTCTAATGCAAAAGATCCTTATACTCCGTATTATTTATTAAGTTCTGAGTTTTTTTTTTTTTGAAATCAAAAGTTCTGAGTTATTCCAAGAAATTTATAAATGTGAAAGGGTTCTCAATTTCCCATTAATTCTAGGTACCTTAATTCTAATTTAAAATAGTTTCTGATTAGTCAACATTTGTACGTAATGAGCATGAACGGGATACGGTGTATCAAAGCATAGATTACGGATAAGAACCGAAAACCTTCTCACACCACTTTCGTTCCCAGCAAGGAAGGTAAGTCAAATTATTTTAGATTATGATTAAGTAGCTGGCTTTAGGATAAAATCAAGTTCCTGGCTTCCTGCCATAAACCTAATTATAGTACGTAGTTTAAGCACACAACAAATGAGCAATTCAAGCAAGGGCCGGTCCTATGAATTCTAGGACCCTGTACAAAGAAAAAATTGGGCCCATTTTTCTAATGCAAAGAGAAACCAAATGCATATACCTAATGACCCAATATCAATTTATTCAATGCAAATGCAAAATTAACAACTTAATACCTTGAATTTGTTAAACTCAACAACAAAATATCGAATACTTGAAATCTATTAAAACAATCATGCTTAAAATAAATAATTTTCACTTTGTTATAAGTAAATTTTAATCACATGGTGTTTGTTATTTGTTCAAAATTATGTTAATAAATACCCAAATGATCCAAGTGAATTGAAGGATTAACTATGTAATTCAAATTGATTTAAATTTCAAATTCACAAGTACATTTAAAAAATTGGTTTATATTATGTACACAAATGTAAATGTTAAATTTTATGAATCAAAATCTTTTCAAAAAGAAAAAAATTAAATAAAAATAGGTAAAGCCACTTTAAATGATACTCGTATAAGGCTGTAAAAGAACAAAAGTAAAAAACAATAAAAACTGCCCGTACCAGCTTCGAACACATAAACCTCTATCGTAACCATTGGACATCCCCTTCTATCTTGCCGCTTTGTTATCAAGAAACTTTCGTTATATACTCGCACTTTCTAGTTTTTCTATACGTACTACTACCTCCGTCCCGGTGTAATGTTCCTGTTCGGTTTACGATGCTTGACTGACGATAAAGCAACTCGATCCCTGTTCACACTCCGCTTATTTTTAGTAAATAAAATTTACATATTCAGAAACTACATTAAAACCGCTACAAAGCCTGATCAAGAAAAGTTCAATTTGATAAAAATTTGATATATAAAGTAAAAGATTAAGAGTGACCTAAGTTGACCAATGAATAGTGAACGGAAACATTCCAACGGGACAGGGCCATTGCACAGCCTACACCTGGACTGGGCCGGCCCTGCTTGTTCTGTGCTATAGTTTATGCTTATATAAGTGACTTCAGTTCAAGAATTTATAGCTCAAAATCTTCAACAGACTTGGTTGATCAATTTATAAGTTTGTTACTTCTTCAGTTCTTTGAATAAGTTTAATCAATTTTAAACTTCTTGAATTTAGAATTTCCGTGTGAGCCAAACAAATATCACTTCCTTTTTTTAATACTTCCCAACTTTGTTTCAGTAATCCTCTTGATGATACTATTTACCCACATTCAATGTAGAAGAAATTAAAACAATTCCGTGTTTGAATTTTGATGCAAGTTACATAGATACTAAGTTATATGCATTCGAAATATATAAGATTAAACCGACTGCCCCAAACGTCCCATACCCCGACTCAATATAATGAAAGAGTAAATCATGATATGATCTCAAACAGTTTCATTTTTAGTGAGGTGGTTCAGAGCTTGTTACACATAATCAACGTATCATTACATTGGATGAAACGAAACCCTAACATATTTTCGGAACATATAAGTTTAATCATTTGGTAGCTTAAGCAGTCGAGATTATGATTAGAATTTAGATCTATTTATGGATCCCCGTCTATTTATTGACCTTACAAAGAAGATAACATGAGTTAAAAGTGATTTCAAATGCAAAGTGGAACTTCCTTCGTCGTCCCTGATTAAACTTTCAACTTTTCGTTTTAGGCGCCCCAAAATAAATTACATTTCTCCTTTTTGATAAACGTTTCTTTCTATTCTACACAATGCATCAGACAATACCACTATTTTAAAAAAATGCTTGAAGTACACAAAATGTGTACACATGTCTGTCCTTCACAGAAATTTTGTCTATTACAGACAATTGGTACGTAGTATTTTGATTACAAATGAGTTGTCTGTGACAGACAAATGAGTTGTCTGTGACAAACAAAATTTCTGTAAAGGATAGATATGTGTACACATTTTTTATACACATTTTATGTACACTTTGCAAAACTCCTATTTTAATTGTCAAATGTATTTTGAAAATTAATGTAGGGACAGAGGGAGCAACAAGTTCAAAAACATACAAATACTTCAAACAAATGGGGTGAAAAAAGGTTTGGTCGTAAAGGATGTGAAAGAGTACTGGACGGATTTGGATCCTCTGCCGCACGGCAGAGGTGCCTTGCAGCAATCCAACGGCAAGCAACAGAGAAGAAGAGAGCTGCTGAAGAGGGAGAGTGAATCGTGTGGCTGTAATAGCCACGCACCCACCTGGCTGTCAAAACCAGGTAGAGAATCCCGATCCATACTGGACTACTGGCAAACTATAATAAGGACTATAATAAGATGCTCTAATAATTTGCACGGAAAACAGGGTTCACGGGCTTGTGACAAACTTTTTTCTGGCAAAAATAATTCCAAATAGAAAAATCACTATCGGGAATTAAATGAGCATAGACGTACATCAGGTGAGTTTGGTTACACATTTACTGTGACAGTTGATGACTTTCGGGCGGAGTAAAAAATTCAGTCACTGCACAATATAAACGCAGCCGGTAACGTATCCAAAACGCGAATCCAGCAACCTTCATCCTGATTATGAGTATGATTACGACGACATCATCATCTTCTTCTTCTTCTTCTTCACCACTTTAATCCTTAATACTCACCTCATTTCTGTCAAAATCTTCTACTTAGTATCTTTGATTCCGAAATAACAGAAGAAGCCTGAAGTTACGCTCATTCCCGCTCAAACACTAGCTACTAGTTTCAGGCCTTCAATGACACGGCCGATTTGAAAATGGCAGAGCTAGGTTTTCAGCAACAGATGCAAGCCAGAGCTCGAGAAATCAGCCCGGATTCCGTCATTTTGGCAGCCGACTCCAACTTCAGCCTCTTCTCTTCTTCTACTCCCGGCAGTATTGATCGTTCTTCTTTGGCAGCTGACACTCGTGACATTGAGAGCTCTTTCTACCGCGGTCCTCAAACTGTAATCTCCATTCATTTTAGCCTTTTTGCGGAATATTCACTGATCATATGATTATTAAATACTCAGTAAAGAACAAAGAAGAGGAATGTATGTGTACCACTAGCATATTTCATTACGTATGCAATGCATTATAGATGGCCGTTTTTTGAATCTATGTAAATTAATGCAATCAGTATCATCAACGCGAGTGGTAATTTGAATAAATGAGCTCGGATTTCGTAGAAATACTCTCACTGTATGGGCTGTTCACTAATAAATGCTTATTTTGTTACTCCACTTTGCTTATTTTGATACACTCATGAAAGGGAGAAGATTTGAGCTAATCTTGGTTTTAGATACCAGAAAATAGATGTAGCAAAATCTGTACTTAACAACTGTGAAAATTTGTTTTAATCGAGTTTGAATACTTTATTTGAACCAGGATTTGGCAAGACATGTCTACAGCGAAGCTTCAGGTGGTACATCTTCAGATCCAAACAAACATTCCATGCACGAGACTGTCTACCTTCGCAGAAATGCAAAGGCCAAAGGTAGTTCTGTATTTCTATCTTTGCTCAACTTGCTTTTAGAATCCTTAAGAAATTGAGAAGAAGGAACACTCAAACTTGCTAAATTCAATCATTTCAGTGGCTTATGAACTTCGTTCTGTAATTGTGTTCCAGCTAACAAAGCAGATAATGGCATTGCTGAGACAGGGAACACAGAATTATCTCTTGATTTGGCATCAACCTCCTTCTCTCAGGCTCTTAAAGGTATGCAACTTTAATTTCTTATAAATTAAGCTCAACTTGATGTGGGGATGTGTGCTTAAGCTCTCATCTTCTTTATTTTTCATTAGAATGTCAAGATAGGCGGTCCAGATCCGAAGGTATATTAAAAAAATCAGATAGGAAAGGAACTGATTCGCTAGATACGAAAAACTGTTTCATTAGTCCTGCACGCTTCTCATCTCCTCAGTACGGACATATGAAGAAACCAGTTATTACTGATAGGAGACATTCTAATACAAAAGCCCTGCCTAAAAGTAATGGCAGAACCTTACCTTCCAAGTGGGCTGATGCCGAGAGGTGGATCACCAGTCCTATATCGAGAGATAGTGCTGTGAAATCCAAGAGTGGACCTCTTCGCACTCCTGTTATTGCTTTATATTCTCCAGCAGAGCTTACATCTGAGGAAGGAAAGTGTGCTCATTTACAAGCTAGTTCTCCCTCTTCAACTGGAGTGATGGATGTATATGGTTTATCAATTCAATATGGGGGTCATGACATTGGTGGAACCTTAGTTTCATGCAATAATCTGCCTATCACAAGGTCAATTAGTGTCAATGGATGCCCTGAACTTTTCTGCTTATCGTCTTTGTCTGATTTTCAAGGTACAAGTCTATGTTGTAGTTATCCAGTTAGTGTTTCTTTTCTGTCGGGGTAAGCTGCATTATATATAAAGCTAATGCCCGAAGCTAATGAAAGGAGAAGACCATTTTTCAGTTACCATTTGTACACGTTATATATCCTAAGCTTCTTTTATCTTGCTAAATATTGAAATTCTTCAACATATGCTTCATTCGATTGTGTAATAAGGAAACAATTATTGAATTCTCAATTCTCTTCTCCTATCTGCTGGGAATACATGTTGTCTGTGCTGCATTGACCTTTACACTCTCTTTGGATGGGGTGTCAAAGGGTGTTATTAATGGAAGTGTTAGGAAGTGTAGGCACGTGTAAGGAAGAGAATGTAAGTGTAAGATATAAACTTACCTTGTTTGAGAGAGTTACAAAAATGAAGTCTTAGTAACGGAATTGTCGCAAGGCACGCCAACATAATAGTCTGTGACGGAGGAGGGATAGCACTACAACAGTAGCAAGGGAGACGTGAAGGAGTGAGAGTTTTATATTTTTTTAAGTAAGGGTAGGGCAAAGGTGATGGGAAAGTTATGACTAACATCCGTAAACAATTATTTAACACCTCATTATTTTTTTAACTTCTCTACAAAACAAGTGTTAAGACCAACAGTCCAACACTGCTTAAGCCTTCCATTACTAACACCCTCAACCTCCATCCAAACATAGCGTTAGATACGTAAAAAGTTGGAATGCAGTTTCTATTATTTCTCTTCTGAGTTTGGACATTGCTCAGCGAACCTTGTGTTTCGATTTTGAAATATAGATGAGAGTGACTCCAATAAAGTTGTGGATACCAACATTTCTCGTATTGCGTCAAAGGATATGGGTCATATGGTAACTCAAATGATCCCGAAGGGGCGTCACTCATTATCTCCAAAAAGATGCTCATCACCTCCTACTACAAGATCATCCATCCTACCAATTACTGAAGTTCAGAGTTTCCATTCACCGAAAGAAGATATCAGGAACGTTTTAGATGAGCATGTCACTTTGACAAGGTGGAGAAAGAAACACAGGATTCGAATTCCAGGGGCAAGTGTGGATATTTTTGATTATTGGAAAAGTAATGCTGCCATTGGACTGCATTCTGATGGCTGGGATATTTCAAAAACAGCAAACTCTTTATCCCAGTAAGTGTATACTCAAGCTTTTTGGTTAGTTTATTACGGAGTAGTATTAAGCAAGCTCATTCTTAAGATGCATTCAAGAAACATTGATGCTACAAAACTCACTAAATATAAACAGTAAACATAAACAATGATGTCCATGTCAATGTACATTGCTTTTTATGTTTCCATAGGGATTCTCATGGTGGCTTTTATATATTCACTTTCCAGTTTCTATTCCGCTAGATAGATTTGATGGTATACCATGAGGATATCATTAATTCTTTTGATCTATTCATATTAAACATTAAATCTATCTAGCCTTGGGGGGGTACATTCCTTTGATGGCTTTTAAATATTCACTTTCCAGTTGATATTTTGATAGGGATGTCATTATTTCTTTTTATCTATTCATATAAAACACCCTGGCAGGTACATGATTAAAATATATTTGATCAGATTTAAATTCTTAATAACATATAATGATATACTTCCTCCGTTCTTAAATAAGTGCAATATGCTGAAATTTACACAATTCACGTGTTCTACTTTGATTACACTTCATTTATTAATGTATTATTTAATTATTTTTTAAAAAATATTGTTAAATTGGTCTCCGGGAAAATTTTCAAAATCTGATTTTTACTTTTATTTTTTACCAATAGAGAATTATATATATTAATGGTCAAAGTTGTGAATCGGAAAACGTGAAAAATGGACTATTACACTTATTTAAGAATGGAGGAAGTATTATATTATATTATTTATATATTCCCAAAGTGTCATCTGCTTCATTTTGCATTTGATATATATTTTAGAGTCAAGAGGGAAGAAGCAAGGATAACTGCCTGGGAGAATTTGCAGAAGGCAAAAGCGGAGGCAGCAATCCAAAAATTTGAGGTTTTTGTTCAATTCTATCAATGCCTTGGTTCAACTTTGTTATGATTTTTCTTGAAAAAGGATGCCAGCTAAGGTTTTAAAAAATACTACTCCATACATATCTTTTTGAAATTTTAAAATAAATTGCTCAAATAAGAGAAAAACATTGTAAAAGTGCCAAAGTAGGAGTACATGTTTTAAATTCCCAAAACAAGAGTTCCAATTACCTCCTTAGACATAACATTTAGGGTTTGGTTTAGAGCTTAAAGTTTACCAATCCCCTTAAGGTTTAGTGTTAGGCTGTTAGCCTCTCTAGGGTTTACCAATCCTTGTTGTGTTTTAACGGTGGCTGCCCAGTGGCGGCAGAGGAGGTCCACCTGATTTCTGGCGGCGGAGGTCTAGTGGCGGCCCTTCAACCCCTAAGAGGCATTTTTGTCCACTCACTACATTTTACTCCTATTTTGGGAGTTCTACTCGTATTTTTGCACTTAGACCTTGGTTTACTCCTAGTATGGTGATTTTCTCAAATATTTATCTTTCGATTCTCCTTTTGTAGTGTATTATGTATACTATGAATAGTCATCACAACTAATAACATCAAGGGAAAACGGAAATTAATAATACCACCTTTTAGCGGTATTATTACAATAATTCTACCTAACCGTAATTCAGGAATAATCTCACCTTTGCACTCGATCTTCTTTCATCGTTCCCTGACCGGTTGATAACCTGCTATTCCAAGTTATTTTCTTTTCTTTGTGAATTATTAAACCATAAATCCCACCTTTCACAAATATTCTTCAAACGGTCCCACATATCATTTCTCTTTTTTTCTACCTAAAAACTTTTTTTTCATCCTCTTGACTCTTTTATTCCCTTTTTTGGTCTTATTAGTTTTATTTTTATTTCTTTTCCATGTTTAATTGTTTATGTATTCCATTTTTTGCTTCTTCTTCTTCTTCTTCTCATTTATTATTTCATTTCCATTTTTATGTATTTTTTCAGATCAATTCCCTTCTTATAAAAGATCTTTTTCTCACTCTACTAATGTTTTACTTTACTTTTTTTGCACTTTCACTTATTTATTTCATTTTTCCTTTTCTTATCTTGATTCCACAACTAATAAATTTTTCTCTTTTCTGAAAAATTCATAAGGAAAAATATAAACAAGTAGTCGGGAAAAAAAATATAAAAAAGAGGCTACAACGAATAGGAATACATCAAAAGGAAAGAAAATAAAATTGGAGAAGAAGAAAAAGGAAAAACTATCGAAAAAAATTAAACTGTTATGGTAAATGGATAAAGGAATACATAAACAAGGTAAATAAATGAAAGTAAAAAGAAGAAAAAGGAATAAAAGCATTGTGATGATAAAGAAAAAAGAGAGAAAACTTTTAGGGAGAAAAAAGAAAAATGATATGTGGGACCGTTTGGAGAAGATTTGTGAAAGGTGGGAATTATGGCTAAGGGCCTGTTTGGAGCAGCTGGAAGGGGTGAAAAGCCTGAAAAGGCTGAATCTGCTGAAATAAAAGTGTTTGGTAATAATTGGCTGAAATGGCTGATTGGTAAAATTACCATTAAGGTATTTGCTTATTTTTTTACTTGTGTCGTTCAAGCGATCCAAACCTTGAACCACCTACGCTGCCGGAACATTTCCCAAACTGGAACACTCACTAGGGATGAAAATCAGAACCTAAGTTCTGTAACTTACACCCAATAAGTCGTCCATCTGGAAGGATATCAAAACCAAAGTTCTCTCACTTACACCCAATGAAAATCAGAACTAAAGTTCTGGAACACCCAATATGGAGAAGCCGATCTGGAAGGAGATACACAACCGAGCATATGAAACCTACGCACCCGAGCATATGAAGCCGATCCGGAGAAGCTGGAGCAAGAAGACAGAGAAGTTGTCGATCTAGAAGTAGTCTTCGAATTTCTGAAGACGATGTACTACGTCGAGGGCAAAGGAGAATTTTTGGTTATGAACAGTGGATTAATACATTTCAGCTGAAAAAGTAACCCTTTCGTTACTTTTTTGGCTGATAAGAAAAATCAGCCCAAATAGCTAAAATGACATGTGTTTGGCTCTTTTTTTTACATTTTAAGGCTTATCAGCCCATTTTCTAGGCTCCAAACGGCCTCTTAATGTTTCGCAAAGAAAAGAAAACAACCTGTAATAATAGGGCATTTGTTAAGATCCGAAATTCCATCCTAAAAGGTGAACCTGATAGGAGGAGTAACTCAGGTCTTAATATAGTGTTTAATTCTTTCAAAGATATCCGATGTGGGACTTTAACACCCCTCCTCACGACTAGACACTTCGTCTGGATCGTGCCGCCATTCATTTTTTGTCATCGGGTCGCCATTGTCATTTTTTTATAATCGTGTCATCATTTTTTCATAAGGGGGCCCACACCATGGATCGATTTGGCTCTGATACCATGTTAAGATCCGAGGTTCCATCCTAAAAGGTCAACCTGATAGGAGGAGTAAGTCAAATCTTAATATAGTGTTTAATTCTTTCAAAGATATCCGGTGTGAGACTTTAACATCATCAACCGGTCAGGGACCGATGGACAAAGATGAGGTGCAAAGGTGAGATCATTCCTGAATTACGGTTAGTTTGAATTATTGTATGAAGACCGCTTAAAGGTGTGATTATTAGTTTCCATTTTCCCTAACATTAATATTAATAAATGTAAATACAATTTCTGCAAAAGCAAAGTTATAATAGTGATTAATGAATGGTACACTTAAAAAAAGCAATATCGATTGTGTTGAGTTTTGTCATGTTTGCATCTACTAAAATGTGGAATCTACTTTTTCAAACTCTGTAAACAATCTTTAAATCACACACGGAGAAGGAAATTAGAACTTCCTATGCCAAAAGGCTAATGACAAATTACAATATGAGTGCTGTTTAGGTGAAACTGCAGAAGAAACGATCAACATCCATGGATAAGATCTTGAACAAATTAAGATCTGCACAGAAAAAGGCAGCAGAAATGAGAACCTCGATGCTGGCAGGTCAGAATCAAGAAGTTGTAAGATTCTCTCACAGGGCCTTAACTCTCCGTCGGACTCATCATATGGGTTCATTTGGTGGCTGCTTTACATGCCATGCATTTTAGTTATTCTGATCTATCTTTGCTTACACATGGAGCCTAATTTTGCAGGTAACATCTTTAAGACCATTATTTTTTAATCTCATTTTGGCAATTGTGTTTCTCTTTTCAATAACTCTTTAAGGTCTAAGCTTTGCGTGTTGTAATGCCTAGCCATGTTGATCACTTGTCACAAACTGGTAAAAAGGTGATAGTTTCTAGTTGTTTCTTAGGATCTTTAATCATGAAAAAGAACCTACCCTGTTAACACACATAGGGCTAGTCTTATCTATTTCACGGTTTATGGAATTATGGGCGATACTCTATTGTGGGCGTATTCCATGACAAGAATCACTTCATAATAAGAATAGTAAACAAAAAAAAACCTATTCTTCCTAATAAGCAAAAGAGCCCTGGGTATGATCATATGTCATTGCGTAAGGGCTAACAATTGGGCCTATTTTACCTTCTACTTTTAAGGATCTAGGTTATCGCCTTGATTGCACCCCTAGGGCCAGAGCCCTGGGCATGATCATATGTCATTGCGTAATCAAATAAGTGTCTATGGATGGGTATAGTATGTTTATATTTATGGTTTCGAATAGTTATGTACTTCATCAATTCTCCGAAGCATAAAAATGTAACAAGCAAACAAGAGGAGGTAAAATAATCCCTTACAATTATATCTGATGGAAGTATATCTATGAATCTTGTAGATCAATCACATTTAAGGCATTGTTGTTGAGCCGGTTCTGGGAAATGAAGAGATGCAGGTGACGTTCCTAATCGGATGAGGTTAACGTAATCTTGAAGTCCATGGTCAATTAATCCGGGAAACACTATCCCTACGATCCTACAGAGTATTAAGACCCACCCCTCTCTGTAATCTTCCCTGAATATCCAAGGAAGCATAAATCCTCTCATCACCTCAAAAACTGCATTAAATTTCTTAGGGATCTTCCACCACATTGAGAAGTAGTTCATGTTGGGTTCCTCCTCAAGAACCTACATTAGTCCCAGTAGTTATAGGATCTTCATGAGAAATAACTCATAACACACCATACAATGCCAACATTGAGAAGCAGTGAAGCACTCCGAATGTTGGATTATTATTAATTTAACTCTGTGCTGACCATTAAAAAATGACCATCTATCTTATTCTATTAGATCTCTATAATTAGAGGAGCTGGAGGGAGTCTTGACACCACTGACAATTGGAACAATTGCAATTTTTTTCTCTTTTTGATACACTTTTAATAAGCTCATGTCTCGCACATTTTGGATTGGCAGAAATTGTGAAATGTTGTAGTACAATATTTTTCGTTAAAATGGACATGTAAATAGCTGTATGTTGTTTAATACGGAGTACACTATAATTATAAAAAACTATATTACCAAATTGAGATTTACAAATAGCTCCATTAAATTTGAAATTATACATGCAAGACAAAATTTTATAAAAAATTGATGGTTAATAACTGGCATACTACTAAAAATGCAACTTTTCTGGTCTATTATTAGAGACAGGGCAGGTTCTTGAGGAGACATAGAACGGGTGGAAGGTCTTATTACTCCTTCCGTCAAATATAATTGTCTCATTTTTCCATTTATGTCCGTCCCACTATATTGTCTTGTACCATATTTGGGATAAGACTTGGGTGGTTCTAATCCATTCTTACTTTATTCTCATTTTATAAATTCATTATCAACCACATAATCGTACTTTTCTTAAAAATCGCACCAATCTTCTTTGTCCCAATTTTAGGGGGACGGAGGTAGTACTATTTACTAATGACTATTAGTACTGCTATACTGGTAATACTTTTATTGATAGAATTGTAAAAAATCAAATAATTTTTGTGTGTGGGTTACCTAAAAATATTTTCTCCAATAAAATTTAGTTTTTTTTTTTGAAAGAATAAAATGTAGTCTTTGGTATTGGGAGTAAGTGAAAAGAACGTAAAAACATTTAATTTGTAGAAAAAGAGTAGTAGATACCTTGCCGTGGTAGAAGCTGTTGTAGTAAAGGCAAGGACCAAAGTGCCTGAAGAAGTTAGCCTTATCATCGTAGGGCACCCTAGGCACAATGTCATTAGCATAAACATACCTAAAATAACGCACTCCATATTTCTTCAGTAGCTTCTCCCTCATGAAATCGCCGAACTCCGCATCCCCCACTCTGGGCTGCCCGAAAGTGTAAACCCCTTCCAGCCGGCCCAAAAGCCCATCCTCTTCCTCCATGGTCAGAATCGCCGCGAATAAAATCGCCAATGCCCCTCCTAAGCTGTGGCCCGTCACTAAAAATTTCGCATCCTTGTTGACGGCAAAAATTTCTCTCAACTTCTCCGTGATTTCGTAGTAAGCGAGCTGGGTCATGTCTGGGTCTCTTTCTATCTCGTTGGGCCGGATGTTGTTCTTCCGTACACCCAAAGCCCGCATGAACCCGCCGTGGACTTTGCCCACCCCTTCGATCTTGTACCAGGAAAGGTCCGCATCTGTAAGCCAATCGTCAACGCAGAAAGGCTCTGTTCCCCTGAACGCGACCACGACTAGGTTTGAGTCGTCAGATTTGTCTTGTAACATGATGGCTTGTGTTGATTTATCCTCCGCATTGCCTGTTCTTACCATGATAAGTAAATTGAATGTGAGAAGCATATCAATGGAGAAAGAGAATGAGCGATGGGTAAATGTTGAAAGGGAAAAGGACCAAACACCAGTTAAAATAATGGATCAAAATTTATAATCTTTAACTGGAAATCCAAACATGACTAAATAAAAGTGACGCACTTAGTAAAATAAATTTTAAATAATTATTGTGTAAAGTATACATAAAAATAAAAAAGAGTAAAAAAAAGTATACATAATTATGGGATGGAGTTGGGGAGTTTAATATTGAAATACACTCAATGACTCAATAATCGAATTTATCTGGCCTTTTTTTTACATACGTCACGATGCATTTGTTGGAAATTTTTGAAGTATTTCAAATGAATAAATTTTTGGAGTAACTTTATGTTTCCTAATCTTAATTATTAAGACTTAGTTTTTGCATAACGTTCAATGAATTATTAACTACATATATTAAATACTAGCTTTGCATTTGAACGTGTGTTATTTACCTAACTTAATGCTTCAGTTTTTTGTCATGGAGAATTACATTTGAGGTTTTTACTTTCTTTATAAATAAATAAAACGATGGGCCTTCAATTTATTATTGTCCAGACGGTTGGTATTCTTGTTGTGTTACGTTTTACTACGTAACATTTAGAGAGCAATTCTTTTAAGTGTGAGAGAAATTGAAATGAGAGAGTTGGTGCAAGAGAGGAAGGGGATGCACAATGCAAAATGACGTACTAATCTTATACACGAATCATTCTGCCGAGAGAGATTGTACATGCAACATCAAATCATCTAAGTGCCATACTGCCATCCTAATACTCTTTTGCTTTTAATTCTCAAAAGTTGTTCCTCACATACTAGGGAATATACTTAATCATAATTTTATTACTGGGTTCATATACTATTTTCTTCTCGTTAGTTCTGGTACCGGTTTTATAACCGAAGGGCTCGTTATATCTTGGGGGAAATTTCCGTACGCCGGAAATAATTCCTTAGGACAGCGTCTGACGCGTCTCGAGCCACTAATATATTTTTTAGTTTCTTTTAGCGATTATTCTGCAGGTCAATTCCCGGAGCTAGATGATCAATGAGGTCAACCTGAGAGTAACACGGTCAACACGTTGATTTTGGACGGATAGAGCCAACAATCTAAGGAATTATTGGCGAACTAAAATTACACCTACGGAACAGTCAACTATGACTAGTGACACCAAAAGTATGGACGCATTTCTAGCTCCCAACGATGCTCAAAGTTGTGGTATGTTTTTTTTTTGTAGCCTTTGTTCAAATGGTGATTTCTTAGATAATGAAATCTTTGGGGAAAATATTCACCAAAATATATTGTAAACTTTGTTGGCGGTGAATAAAATTATTGCGGTTATTTTTTTTAAAATTGACTAGTAATTTTTTTTTAAAAAAAATTTGACTAGTGACTGATGTGAATGAATAAGTGATAGATTTTGAGGCTATCAAATTCATTTGTGAATGCAAAAATGTTTTTCCTCCTATCATCCAATAGGGGATGACAAATTAGAGGTTTCATTTAAATTCACATGAGAAAAACGGTTATGACTAATGGAAAATAATGAGCAAATTATGAGCAAGTTTCTTTTTGCCAATCAAATTAGTGACTGAAATTTTACTTTTGTCAATTCACTTGATATTTGTAATATGTGACATATTACATTATATTATGTAATGTTAATTTTCATATTTTAACAGCTAAATGACCTGAGTTTAAAAATATTTATTGTTATTACTCGGTATTTTTCCTTTCTTTTACGTTGAGAAAATTTATCGCCTTCCCAACAACATTAAATGTTATGGATCTTCAAAAACTGTTGAATTCTCAGAATTTGGTGCGGCAGTTACATTGGAGCTTTATAACGGTTTTATTTGTCGCTTCTATCAAATGAATCACTTAACTATTACGGAGTATTTTAATGTCCTTGTACATTCACTAGTGTGCTGAAATATATATATCTGGATATATGCATGGTGTCCGAAAGTGATTACTTGCTGCTTTCGAAGTGCATGCCGTGATTAAAAATATACATATTTATTTACCTAAATTTGTGAACATCTTGATAGACTTTGAATGTGTACAGTGGAGGTAGATAATTTATAAATTATATTTCATCTATAACATTTGTAAAATGTTTGGTGAATCGATATAAGTTTTATTAATATATTTGTACGGTGATTAGAAGTTGTGGAAGATTTCATGTTACATTTATTGGTGACTTTTCGAGATTAAAAAAAAATTATTATTTCATTAAATTTGAAGGCAATTTCTAATAAAATATTGATGTACAAATAAAGATTGAGATAGATATTATCTCAATAACAATATCTTATCTTCCTGTGAATTTTAGAAGAGTTATGCACCTGTTTTTGAAATATTTAAAATTGTGGGGGTGCTTAGCTAAATTTCTATCACCTATCTCATTGAGTTAAAATGAGTTTTATAACTCTTGGCTACTTTTGCATAAACTGAAATAGTAGATCATATATATGATTTTCTTAAATTGAATAATTAGTGTGCCGGTGTGCAATACTTTAAGCTATATTATTGTTGATATTAATGTGATTTATTTTTGAAGAATGTGAACACACTAAATGATGCATGTGTGATTATTTGTTTATATGTTGCTGAAATTTTGTATGCTTTTCAGTAGCTATATTGAGTTGATATATGAATATAGTAAAAGTAATTTTTGGAGTATTATATTAAAGCCATAAGGAAGGATTGTGATATTTTACTATCATCATTTTGAAAAACTTCTTAAGAAGTTTGATATTTCCATGGTAAAATGTGAATATCCCTTATGACTTTGATATAAAAAAAAACAAATATGTGAGTCTGTTACAATTAAATGTGTGTGGCATTTCATAATTTTAAAATGCTGGAATTGAAGATTGAGCCAATATATGAAATTCAAATGTGATGGTTGAGATACCTTAAGTTATTGAGATATTCGAGAGATATCATTAATTATGGTTCAGATTATCCGTTGTAATATATTGATACTACGATGATATGTTTAATTGAGAAATATCCGTTGTACTAGAAAGGTACAACGATGCTATATATGAGAATTATTCATTGTACTATGATGATACAATGATGTTATATATTATATTGAGAATTATCCGTTAGGATACAATATATTATTGAAATTATCTGATGTACAAAAGTGACACATCGATGCTAAATCTTGTTGAGAGTTATCCGTTGTATTGCCGGGATACAACGACGCAATCTGAGTCGACTCGCATGAGATAAATTAAAATAGTGGATATCCATTCACCCTTAAAAGTGGTGCAATGATGTTTGAGAATGGAATTATATCCATTAATTTTGTGAAGGAATTAGCTACTCCTTTGACAGAATCCCTAGGACGTTAAATGATTAATTTAAACATCGAGGGAAATGGACTAATGTCACTTTGACAACAAATAGGGATGAGAACCCAACTTGTGTGATTGGAGATCCCATGAAGCAAGTTCAAATGGGTAATAACAAATCTTCTATTTGTTCTGCTAGCCTTGTAAAATGTCCGTTTCTATGGTGTGGAAGGCTAGACTACATTTGTTTGTGAGGTTGAGCTAAAACTCTTAATGATAGTCGTCATAGCCCTTACGGGTGGTGTGTTAAGTGTGGGACACACTTGATGAGGTCACCTATATGAGTGAGAGGTGGGGCCGCCTCTATGAAGCATTGACAACGCTTCTAGAGCACTTAAGAAAACCAAGCACGCGCACGGCCTAGAGGCGCACAACGGCGTTAACGACGAGAAAGGTGGCGGTGAAAAATGATCCCCTAAGACACTGACTTACCAAAGTAGATTATTGGTTCATAGAAACTATACGTTTCACCAATAAACTCGGTATTTAAAGACTTAGGCGTCTAGGTCTGGTTCAAGTCTACGCGACACCAGATTGAAAAACCTCACCTCATACATGAACCCAGTAAGGAATTGCTGTTTTTAAATACTTAAAATTATTCATTTGAAATATGTGGGGGATTGTTGGAAATTTTTGAAGTATTTCAAATGAATAAATTTTTGGAGTAACTTTATGTTTCCTAATCTTAATTATTAAGACTTAGTTTTTGCATAACGTTCAATGAATTATTAACTACATATATTAAATACTAGCTTTGCATTTGAACGTGTGTTATTTACCTAACTTAATGCTTCAGTTTTTTGTCATGGAGAATTACATTTGAGGTTTTTACTTTCTTTATAAATAAATAAAACGATGGGCCTTCAATTTATTATTGTCCAGACGGTTGGTATTCTTGTTGTGTTACGTTTTACTACGTAACATTTAGAGAGCAATTCTTTTAAGTGTGAGAGAAATTGAAATGAGAGAGTTGGTGCAAGAGAGGAAGGGGATGCACAATGCAAAATGACGTACTAATCTTATACACGAATCATTCTGCCGAGAGAGATTGTACATGCAACATCAAATCATCTAAGTGCCATACTGCCATCCTAATACTCTTTTGCTTTTAATTCTCAAAAGTTGTTCCTCACATACTAGGGAATATACTTAATCATAATTTTATTACTGGGTTCATATACTATTTTCTTCTCGTTAGTTCTGGTACCGGTTTTATAACCGAAGGGCTCGTTATATCTTGGGGGAAATTTCCGTACGCCGGAAATAATTCCTTAGGACAGCGTCTGACGCGTCTCGAGCCACTAATATATTTTTTAGTTTCTTTTAGCGATTATTCTGCAGGTCAATTCCCGGAGCTAGATGATCAATGAGGTCAACCTGAGAGTAACACGGTCAACACGTTGATTTTGGACGGATAGAGCCAACAGCATTCATATTGATTTCGCTATGTGTTTTATGAAATGCACTGTTTATAAAATGCATTATTCGTCGTAGGTAGTTTTAAAAAGTATTTTAGTATGATTTAACATTTGAACACAATTATAGTTCCTAAAGTTATTAAAATCATAGTTTTGTCATCTTTTTTGGTTATACATCTGAATTATTTCTAGTTTTAATGAGTCAAATAAACAATCAAAACATCAATGGGAAAAAGTTGCACCGCAAGTAGGGGAGGATCTACGTATGAGCTATAGTGGACTGAATATTAGGGCCATTAAATATTTTTTGTGTAAATCTTTTCCTTTTTCATACTACCTCCGTCCCAATGGACTTTGCCAAGTGCAAAGTAGGTGAGAAATAAGAATAGTAAAAACTGTGTGATTGAAATTTGTGCAGATGAGAGAGAAATGTGTATACCACAAATTAGTTGCTTTAGTAGGAAAGTGACAAACTTTTTTGGGACAACCAAAATGAGAAAGTTGGCAAAGTCCAATGGGACGGAGGGAGTATATTGTACGAAGTATAATTTAACTCACCTTTTTATGTTTAAGTATAGTATAATTACTGGGGAAAAGGGGCAAATTAGGCCACATACTAACCAAAAAAAGTCAAATAAGGCCTTATTTATGAGGCTCTGGCCGACCTTCGTCATTTGGGGTGGTTCTCGGTGGAATTTTTTGATGAATTTTTTTGACCATTTTATTCATTAAGTCTAGTTTACTCATACCAAATTTTAGCCAACAATTCAATCGGGAAGGCATTCAAATGAATTCTTGAAGATAACTGCGCTTTTAACTACACAGTTATCTTCAAGAATTCATTTGAATGCCTTCCCGATTGACGTTTTAGCTGAAATTTGTTATGAGTAAACTAGACTTACTGAATAAGATGCTCAAAAAATTTCATCAAAAAATTCCACCAGGAACCACCCTAAATGGCGATGACCGGACAAAGCCTCTTAAACAAGGCCTTATTTGACCTTTTTGGTTAGTATGTGACCTTATTTGCACCTTTTCTCTAATTACTCCCAAGATCAGCCCAAGATCAGCCCAATCTAACTAATCCAAGTTCAATTACATGAACGATTCAGGTTTTTAAATGAAATGAGCAAGATGGTTCCTTTTGCGGAATATTTGTTGATATTTAATTTAAGTTGAAATATAAAAATAAATAAATGATAGTGATCGTTTCTTTGAAACTACGTAGTACAATAGTATAATGTAGCTGTGCGCTTATGAGAGAGGCAATGTTTTTTTACCGCATTGGAAATTCTTGAACTCCAAAAACTCCATCTGTATAAACAAAAAAATAAATAAATAAAATTAAATACCGTAAAGAAGGTCCCGTCCACATATGTTCAATGAAAAATGCTAAAGGTACCTCAATTGGTACCCCCAATTTGTACCCACACCCTATTTTTGTGGCTCACAAAAGCACCTCATTAAAGTGGGACAATTCATATATTGAGGTGGGCTTTTGTGAGCCACAAAAATAGGTTGTGGTACAAATTGGGATACAAATTGGGGGTACCTATAGCAGGGTTGATGTTCAATTACGTGATCTTAATAATAATATCTTAATACGACTAAAATATAATCACTCTCTAAATACGAGTGCATATTATATATTAATTTTCTTAAATACGATTAAAAATTACACTTCTACGTACTCTAAATGTAACTAATCAATACATTTCAATTAATTTCTCCCTAATTTTTCAGCATAATTAGGGTAGTTCAATGGTGACGGCAGTCCAGCAGCGGCGTCACTACTCTACCGGCTGGCCACTAGCGGCATGCAGCAGTACTCCAACCCCTATAAAAGTGTGTTTTGCCTAATTACAATTAATAAGTCCTATTTAGAATTTTTAAATATTACTATCTTTGTTCCACTAACATTATTGGGACAAGAGACAATGATATGATTATTAAGAAAAATGAGTTTATGACCTTGATATTGAATTGATAAAGTTATAATAGAGTATTAATGATTTATAGTCATACAAATTTTATCAAATTTGACATGAGATAATTTGATTGAGATTTCTCAAAAAGAAGAAATGAGACAATCTTAGTGGTACGGAGTAACTCTATCCTATTTTTGGAAATTTAGCAAGTTTTGGTTCCTAGTTGGGAGTTCTTGGTAAACACCCCATGCACGCATAGTCAGGGACGGATCCAGGATTTCTATTCAAGGGGGGCGAAATTTTTCGGTAGTGTAGGGGGTGAAAAAAATTTCGTTAGTGTAGTGGGGCGAATTTTTTTTCCCTAGTGTAGCGGGGCGAATTTTTTCCGCTACTGTAGGGCTATGCGGCTAATTTTATTCAAAAAATGACATTAATACATACACATCCCCAACGACATTTAAATCTATTAAGTAGTACATTCTAAGTTTAAATTAAACGATGACAAAGACATCAACCAATACATTTTTAATAACTTCTACATTGTTTAACCTCATGAATCGGTTATTATTGAATTGTAATTTTTGTCCGGCCACCAAGGATGGTGTTCGTGAGTCATGACTAATGAGAAGTTTTCTTAATATTACAATAGTAGTATGTATGATATTATTATTTTTAGAATAATATGCACCACATACACACATATATGGTGCATGTTATATTTTAATATTTGTATTAATGCTATAATAATTTAAAGTTTATTATCTATGCAATAAATTATTTTTAGAAAGCAAGAAGTAAATGAATTATGTAATTTAATGTCAATAAACATTTATATTTTGGATTCATTTCACGTGATCTAAAAACTGTGTAATTAGTGTGTCTGATATTTAATATTGTTTGATATATATTTTACAAAATCAAGTACTTGTTGTCTAATAAAGATAATTAAACATTACAAAACTAGGAATTCTTATATAATAAGTATCCTAAATCTTAAACAACGAGTTATTCTATTGTTTATTTGTTTAAGTTATGTAATTATTTTAGATGTTCCTTCTTTTAAATCTTCAATTAAGTATTACATTATGTAACACTATATATTAATTTTGAAAATTAAAAGCTAAGAGGGGCGAATCTAATTAAATTATGAAAGTTTTATGAAAATATTACATATATGGTAGAAAATTTTGAAATTCCAAGGGGGCGGTCGCCCCCCGCGCCCCCCCTAAATCCATCCCTGCGCATAGTTTATCAACCGATAATTAGGATTAAATTTAGGAGTAATGATAATTACGACATGCCCTAGATTTTTTAGGTGCTATAGAAATATAATTTATACTATCCCCATTCTCTTTTAATTATAACATTGAACTTTTGGCACTATTCAAATGTTCTATTTTAACTATATTTTATTTATTAATGTATTATAAATGAAAATTTTAAAATATATTTTTAAATTCCTCTCATTTTAAATTTTCAAAATCTGAATTTTGTTTTTTACTAAGGAATGAAAAATAATAATGGTCAAATTTGTGAATAGGTAAACGTGACTCGACTAATTAGTTTCAGACGTTCAGTTAATAAATTACCTTCCAGTTATCGGTGATTACTTTTTGAATATAGGCTTCGTTTTCATACGATAGCTTAGCAGCCATAATAGACAATAGTGGTGTATATCGGCTGTCCCCATTTTTGATATCGGGGTCGAAGTTAACCCTCTTGTCCAGGATTGCCAGTAATGATCTAAAATTTTCCGATGTCGGTTCCGGCCTAACCACGTTTCCTGAAAACCCATGCACAACCACTCAAGCAAACATTAATCATAAATTACCCTGTAAAAATAATGTAAAATTCTAAAATACGAGTATTAATTTTCCTTTCAAAATACGAGTAATTATTGTCATATTTAGAAATTACTATTTGTATCAATTATTGCATTGTTAATTATTACTATATAAGTGTTTTGTAATAGCAAAATATGGAAGTACTAGTGAAGACGGTGATTTAAGGGTAGAAGTGATCACACTTATTTTGGAGAAAATAAGACTACATATATTATGGAACTAATTCCACTTTTGTTCATATGAGTTTTATGTCAATTCCACATGTAGTTTGTTAGAAAATATTTTATGGTGTCCAATCATGTTTAATATAATTGTATTAAGATTGTCTTTAGTTTAATTAATAGGATGAGTCAATTCAATGTTAGATGCTCATTTGTAATAGGTCTGTAGGACTCAAACCTACAGACCTATAAATAGTCTGGAGGTTGAGTCTCTAAGAGGTAAGAATCGTAGAACATATTGTAAGAGTAACGCAGGACATTCACGCATAGAGTAGAGAGAGAGAGAGAGAGCGGTAGAGAATACATGTTTTGTATTGCCACATCATTCTGATCAATATTCAATACTACCTTCGTCCCTTTTTATTTAGCCAACTTTGACTTTTCCAGTCAAAGATGATAAACTTTGATCCATTATTTTAACTAATATATATATGTAAAGGTTAATAAATTTATACTTTTATGATAGTATTTTCAACAGCGAATATTTTCATATAATTCTCATATTATCAATATTACCGTGTATAATTATATAATCGGTCAAAGTTGAACAACTTTGACTTGAAAAATAGTGTTTGGCTAAATAAAAAGGGACAGAGGGAGTACAAGTTTTCTCATTCTTTTTTAATTTGTATATATTATATGTGATTGTTGGATGAAATAAGGACAACATAGTCCATGTCTTTCATTTTGTTGACTTTTGATTGGTACTTGACTAATATTTCTTGACAATCTATCTGTGGCCCTTTTCCGGCGATGTTAACCGCGGAAAACATTGACAGAGGGACAATATATGAGCGAAAATGTAATGCTCATGTACCAAAAGTAGTAAGGTCAAAGACATGAACCATTTAGAGAATTGATGCGATACTCGTTAGCCGTAGGATTAAAAGTGGAATTTATTCATATATTATCTCATTGAACATTGTGAACTTTGAGTTTAGTGCGCAATAAAAGGAGTGTTTTGACTTTGCAACCTATTTCCCTTAAAATGTCTTTGACTTTGCATCTTATTCCGAAATTTTTCTTCACAAAATGTGGGATGCTAGGGTGCAAACTCAAAGTTTTTTTTTAAAACATGGTACAAAGTCCAATATCACCCATAAAGTGGGGTGCAAAGTCAAAATTCCCCATAAAAGAATTAAGGTAAAGATTTTGTGGAAAAGTTCAATGGAACGGCAGAAGTATAATAATTTTAATAAAATTGCAATAAAATGAGTGATGGTACCATGGATTCAAACCAGAAAAAATTCCACTTTTGGTCCTCCGAGTTATGCACCAATTCCACATTTAGTCTTCATCTTTCATTTTATCCATTTTTGGTACCTGACTATTGTTTTCTTGACCATATATAGTCCTTTTCCGGTAGTAAAAATGTCCAGAGATGGACCGAAAATGGTTGGAAAAACAATAGTCAGGTACCAAAAATGGATAAAGTGAAAGATGAGGACTAAATGTGGAATTGGTGCAAAACTCGGAGGACCAAAAGTGGAATTTCTAATTCAAACCATGGCCCAATTACGTAATCTAGCCCATAAACGGGATCAGCCCTTAACGAGATGAGCCTAATTACAGGATAAGCCCATAAACGGGATCGGCCTAATTACAGGATTAGCCCATAAACGGGATCAGCCTAATTACAGGATTAGCCCATAAACGAGATCAGCCCTTAAACGGGATCATCCTAATTACAGGATCAGCCCATAAACGGGATTTATGATTAAAAGCCGCTTAGCCGATTAGGAATTAGGCCCACGACAGGAACCCACAGCTAGGCCGGGCTGGACAGCAGACCTCGAGCCTGGGCGGAGTTCTAGTGAGGCTGGGATATTCCTAGGGCTTACGTGGCGAGCTATCATTCGTTGATAGATATTTGGCAACAGGCAGAACTCATCCGGAGGACAACGACTAAAAGGAGAAAGCAATCGTATGGGAATCAAGCATCGAAGGAGTTCTATTTCGAGCAAGAATATAGTTCATTAATGAAGCATTAATTGTATTAGATTCCTCCTAAAATACTATCTCCCAATATCTATAAATATAGGATGTAAACACCCGAGAGGGGATCCCCGATCAAGTTCTAATTGAGGCTAGACAACTGCTAGTTCTCCGGAATAAAGAGTAAAAACTGCCTTACGCTACCATATTATTCTCATACTTACGTATATTTAGCTCTCGTAGTTGGATTTAACTCCATCAATGAGTAAACATCTTTTGGAATTCCAAAATATGATTGATATGTTTTTATTCACGAAATAGGAGTGGTTACTGCGATAATTGATAAAATTGTTATCAATTATAGTAAATATTGTCATGTAATGCCTAGTACTGCAATTATTTTCGCAGTACTCAGGAGTGGAGCTACCGCCAATGCCAAGGGGCCATGGCTCCTCCCAATTTTTTTAATTTTTAGTTACTAGTATCAGTGTTTTATTTTACCCCCAACTCTGTTATTCTTTAGCAGTCTGTTGTCCTTTGTAGTAATAGTACATCACTACAATCAGCCATACGGCTGTATGGCAATTCTTGATTTGGGACTTAAGCCCATTCAAATCATTTTATTTTAAAGCTCAATCTAACAATAATAACAAGAAAAATAAGTTTGGGATATTAGTGTGCCGACTTAAAAAAATATGGGTAGAGAGCAGAGACAAAATGGGTTCAATGGCTGAGCTCTACTCCTTGGAAGATTGAAATTTGGATTCTATTTTAAGTAAATAAGAGCTTAAGTTAAGTAAATAAGTCCAAACTTGAAGGAAATAAGTTATTACAATTTAGGAGTATCTATTTAAGGAATTCTTAATTATTTAAGAAGTTGCTAGTATATACTATCTATATTGTCTTAGTTTAGAGAAGAAATCAAGAGTTTAAGTTAAGATAACTTTCTATGAAAATGAGGGCTCTTCAATGTTCATTATAACAATTAAATATTTAATGAAATCTTATAGAATCTTACATTAGAGTCCGGATATTTTCATGTTATGTAAGAGTAACGTCCTAAATTTTAATTAGCATCATGTTTAATAATTTATATTTGAATAATTTATTTTTGAATGTTTTAAATGAATATCAATACTATATTTAATATTATTGCATTTGTATTCTATACGTAGTATGTTACTATAGATTAGCGGCCCAGACAGCGGCCCGGACAGCGGCCCACATATGTTCAGTAGATAGCATTTATTTCCTTGTACACTATATTTATTCATATGTACACATTTAAATAGATTAGATACTATTTATTAGCCATTTATTGGCCTTTTATTGTAACTGGGCCAGCCAGGCCCACACCTGGAAGCCCAACCCTCTTTTCTCCTATAAATACTCCCTATGGGAGCCATGTAAAGGGATGGTTGAATGGTTGATTGGAATTCATTATACATATCACTTTATCTCTCTAGCTCTCCCTTCTCTCTAGATTAAATAATCTATCATTTGGTGCTTTCATTGAGAGCTAGAATATATCAAGTGAGATCCTCCCAACCAATATCACAACACGTAAACTATGGATGTGGTATCACTTCGGCCCAATTGGGAGCAAAATGAAACCCGATATACACTTTCACATGTGGGAGTATTCTTCGGCCAAAACTAAAGAAAGCAACATAAACGAAGTCAACTTGGCTTTACAGGTGGCAGCTTCCTAATCCACAACTCAGCCCACCACTTAAACATGACGGCAAGGTCAACTGAAACTACAAAAAATTGGGACAGCCTCGGCTACAACATCAATCGTCGGGGAAGCTTTACCCCGGCCAAAGAAGGAACTTTGGGTCACCTCGGCTATCCATATGTGAGGCATAGATCAACGGCCAAGAACTTTTCCTCGGTAAATTGGGACGAGAAGCCCAAGTACACCTTCGGCTCAGCCAAGGACATCAATGTCACACTTCGGCCGGCACCACATCGGCCGGCATTACTTCGCCCAAAGGAAGCTCCCTGGTGCCCCACGTCGGCAATCCCTCGGCCGAACCTGAATAGGCCAAGTATCGGTGCACCCCTCGGCCTATTGGGACCCTTCTGCCAATTCACCCAGTCCTGGAAGCAAGCAGTGGCGCACCCCATCGGCCGGAACCCCATCGACCAGACCGCATCGGCCCGAAGGGGAAGGACCATGGCAGCACCTCCGTCCTGAAAGCGGAAGGGAAGCAACGAATCCATCCCCCGGATGAACTGCACAACGTCTGGAATCACCTCTGCTACACTATCGGCCATACCACCATCGGCCTAACCAATGGGGATGACACGCTTCGGCCAAGCAATTGAATTAGACAACTGGCTCCCCGTCCAAACCAGGGGGTCACTCACACCTTGGCAACGCATCGGCCGGCACACCCGTCGACTGACAAAACATCGGTTCAAACAAGGGAGAGGCAGTCCCTTCGGCCAAGAGAAGCTCCTCAGTGCCCCTTGTCCACAGCGGTCCCCATCGGCAACACAATTGAGGGAGGCACCGCATCGGCCGGCATACAACGGCCAGCAACATTCCGGCCGGAACCTCATCGGCCGGCACCTCATCGGCCGGCACCTCATCGGCTGGCACCTCATCGTCCGGCACCTCATCGGCCGGCACCATCGGCCTGCAACACCATCGGTCGGCACACCATCGGCCAGATTGGTGCAGTGATTTCCACATCAGCCTTGGCGGCAATAATCAGGGCCCCTCAACACACCGGCCAAGCAGTTGAGGATTATGACACTTCGGCCAAACCAACAAAGCTGATCGGGAAATCTCTGTTACCCCCCTCGGCCAAGCGAACTCTAGGGTCACCTTCGGCCGTGCAAGACATTCGTCCTGCCTGAAATCAGCACGTCGGCCAAACATACACCTCGGCAGGACTGGATGCGCGTCGGTGTCGGTCTGAGGCACGGGCAGCTGCAACGCCTTCATCCGCTCCGAGAGCCTTGTGCGCCGGGAAGTCGTGCCTATTTCGCACCGGCCAAATCGGAAGTCAAACACCATTTCCTCATAAGCTTATCGGCTAAAGCAACCAGGCTCTCCCCTGGGGCTGGAGTCATGCTTTCAAGCTTAAATGAGCTAGTGGGCCAACAGTTGGGCCGACCATTTAATAAAGGCTGGATTCTCTAGAGCAGGCACTATCAGCTATATCTATATCTCCCTGCTGGAATTCTAAGCAGGGCAGGTTTCGGCCCAAATACAAGTAAGTGTCACAAACTTTTCCTCCTATTTTATGCATTAAATATGGAGCAAAATAGTTTTACCACTATTCAAAAAAATAAGTATAGTTTTACTACTATTCCAAAGAGCAAAAAAATAGTTTTACTAACTATTCAAAAGAAAAATAATAATAATAATAATTACTACTACTATTATTATTATCACCACCATTGCTAGCGGATTAAAATCCCCAATTGGTGCGGGCCAAAGCCTTAACCTTCCGAACATCTTTATTTGATGATTCGGATTATATTTGGGTCCCTTGACCTACCATGGTCATCTTTATTTGATGACCCGGGCATCTAGAATGAGAGCCATCATCGGCCGCACACGGCATTATGCCTAGAGGCGGTACACCTCATTCCCCTACACGCTAATTGCGTCATCCAAAAGCCGTTGCAATAGACAACGCAATCCAAATCCGTTGCAATAAACAACGCACCTAAAGCCGTCGCAATAAACGACGCACTCAAAGCCGTCGCAATAAACGACGCACCCAAAGCCGTTGCAATAAACAACGCACCCAAAGCCGTTGCAATACACAACGCACCTAAGGCCGTTGCGATCCACAACGCGCCTGCAAAGCCGTTGCATAGACAACGCACCTAAATATCGTATCGGCACAAGCGGTGAAACACCCAAATCGGCCGGCGATATGCAGGACGAAGGACCTGTATGCATGGTCCAACGTCTTCAAACGGAGAAGCATACCGCGTCGTCCGCGCGGAAACCGCAGGACGACATGCCTGAATTAAGGCTGAGGTTACAAAAACTCCACCCGTCAGTAAAATTTCGCTCAGGACCACAAAGGGCGGCCGTCAAAAGACGATGCCTAGTCCGGTCCCTCGTCGCTGATAGACGTGGAAAGGCCAAAAAAGATGTCACTGACACACCAAGCCGAGGGCGTATTTACTCCCTCGCACTAATCCACGCGAAAAGCGTAGCGGACAAACTACCTCACATGGACGAAGGGACAGTAACCCTTCGGCCTCCCTAAAAAAAAAAAAAAGAGGGAAGCCGACGGACCGCGCACTTGCCGGCCTCGAGCAATAAAAATAAATAAATTCCCCAAACTTATTATTCATCTCAAGACCGGCTCCCAATGCCGAAGCTCTTGCTCCATCAGCTTATGAACGGCCTCCCCAACGCCGTCATACTTTTATATGACGATCGGCTCATCATCGCCTCGTCATCATCCGGATCGGCTCATCATCATCGCCATCCGCACATCACGATCGGCCCCCCGACCTCGACGTGATGATCTAGCTCAAGACCAGCTCCCTCAGCGCCAAGTGTCTTGAACTAGCGATCGAGCTAGCTATTCCCTTCCGGGATAGCAACCGTCGCCTCTATATGACGATCGGCTCATCATCGCCTCGTCATCATTATCCGGATCGGCTCATCTTCATCGCCATCCGCTCATCACCACCGCCCCCCCCGGCCTCGGCGTGATGCTTTATCTCAAGACCGGCCTCCCCAGTGCCAAGTGTCTTGATCTAGCGATCGAGCTAGCTATTCCCTTCCGGGATAGCAACCGTCGCCTCTATATGACGATCGGCTTCATCATCGCCTCGTCATCATTATCCGGATCGGCTCATCATCATCGCCATCCGCTCGTCACGACCGGGCTTCCAGCCTTGGCGTGATTATTTCTTCTCAAGACCGGCTTCTCATCGCCAAGTGTCTTGAGTTGGCGATCGGGCTCGCCGTCCCTTCTTGGATGGTGACCGTCGCCTCTATATGACGATCGGCTTCATCATCGCCTCTGCTCATCACCACCGGGCCCCCGCCTCGGCGTGATGCTTTATCTCAAGACCGGCTTCTCATCGCCGAGTGTCTTGAGCTAGCGACCGGGCTTGCTATTCCCTTCCGGGATAGCAACCGTCGCCTCTATGTGACGAGCGGCCTCATCATCGCCTCGTCATCATTATTCGGATCGGCTCATCATCATCGCCATCCGCTCATCACCACCGGCCCCCCAGCCTTGGCGCGATTATTTCTTCTCAGAGACCGGCTTCTCATCGCCAAGTGTCCTAAGCTAGCGACAGGGCTCATCATCCCTTCCTGGATGGTGACCGTCGCCTTTATATGATGATCGGCTCATCTCTGCCTCGTCATCATTATTCGGATCGGCCTCATCATCGCCATCCGCACATCACGATCGGCCCCTCGGCCTCGACGTGATGATCTAGCTCAAGACCAGCTCCCTCAGCGCCAAGTGTCTTGAGCTAGCGACCGAGCTTGCTATTCCCTTCCGGGATAGCAACTGTCGCCTCTATATGACGATCGGCTTCATCATCGCCTCGTCATCATTATCCAGATCGGCTCATCATCATCGCCATCTGCTCATCACCACCGGGCCCCCCGCCTCGGCGTGATGCTTTATCTCAAGACGGGCTTCTCATCGCCGAGTGTCTTGAGCTAGCGACCGGGCTTGCTATTCCCTTCCGGGATAGCAACCGTCGCCTCTATGTGACGAGCGGCCTCATCATCGCCTCGTCATCATTATTCGGATCGGCTCATCATCATCGCCATCCGCTCATCACCACCGGCCCCCCAGCCTTGGCGCGATTATTTCTTCTCAGAGACCGGCTTCTCATCGCCAAGTGTCCTAAGCTAGCGACAGGGCTCATCATCCCTTCCTGGATGGTGACCGTCGCCTTTATATGATGATCGGCTCATCTCTGCCTCGTCATCATTATTCGGATCGGCCTCATCATCGCCATCCGCACATCACGATCGGCCCCCCGGCCTCGACGTGATGATCTAGCTCAAGACCAGCTCCCTCAGCGCCAAGTGTCTTGAGCTAGCGACCGAGCTTGCTATTCCCTTCCGGGATAACAACTGTCGCCTCTATATGACGATCGACTTCATCATCGCCTCGTCATCATTATCCAGATCGGCTCATCATCATCGCCATCTGCTCATCACCACCGGCCCCCCCGCCTCGGCGTGATGCTTTATCTCAAGACCGGCTTCTCATCGCCGAGTGTCTTGAGCTAGCGACCGGGCTTGCTATTCCCTTCCGGGATAGCAACCGTCGCCTCTATGTGACGAGCGGCCTCATCATCGCCTCGTCATCATTATTCGGATCGGCTCATCATCATCGCCATCCGCTCATCACCACCGCCCCCCCAGCCTTGGCGCGATTATTTCTTCTCAGAGACCGGCTTCTCATCGCCAAGTGTCCTAAGCTAGCGACAGGCCTCATCATCCCTTCCTGGATGGTGACCGTCGCCTTTATATGATGATCGGCTCATCTCTGCCTCGTCATCATTATTCGGATCGGCTCATCATCATCGCCATCCGCACATCACGATTGGCCTCTCGGCACGACGTGATTATTTATCTCAAGACCGGTCTTAGTCATCCCTTCCCAGATGGCGACCGTTGCTTGGATCTTTGGATCGGCTCATCATCATCGCCATCCGCACATCACGATCGGCCCCCCCGGCCTCGATGTGATGATCTAGCTCAAGACCGGCTCCCTTAGCGCCAAGTGTCTTGAGCTAGCGACTGGGCTTGCTATTCCCTTCCGGGATAGCAACCGTCGCCTCTACATGACGATCGGCTCATCTCCGCCCCGTCATCATCATTATTCGGATCGGCTCATCATCATCGCCATCCGCGCATCACGACCGGCCTCCCAGCCTTGGTGTGATTATTCCTTCTCAAGACCGGCTTCTCATCGCCAAGTGTCTTGAGTTGGCAATCGGGCTCGCCGTCCCTTCCTGGATGGTGACCGTTGCCTCTACACGACGATCGGCCTTATCATTGCCTCGTCATCATATCTCGGACATGCTCCTCAGCATCTTCGTCCTCACATCACGATCGGGCCCTTCGGCCACGACGTAATGCTTTATCTCAAGATCGGCTCCCTCAGCGCCGAGTGTCTAGATCTAGCGATTGGGGTTGCTATTCCCTTCCGGGATAGCAACCGTCGCCTCTACATGGCGATTGGCCTATCATTGCCTCGTCATCATACATTGGACCGGCTTATCATAGTCGTCATCCTCGCATCGCGGCCGGCCTCTCGGCCAAGGCGCGGTACCTTATATCAAGACTGGTCTTAGCCATTCCTTTACTGGGTGGCGACCATTGCATGGATTTTTGGGTCGGCCCCTCAGTGCCGATCATGGCAGGCCCTCGGCCTCGACGTGATCATATTCCCCAAGACCGGTCTCAGTCATTCCTTCATCGGATGGCGGACGTTGCTTGGACGTTTGGCTCAGCCTCATAGTGCTGACGACCTCGCATCACGATCAGCCCCCCGGCCTCGACGTGATGCCCTATCTCAACACCGGCTTTATCAGCGCCAAATGTGTTGAGCTAGCGATCGGGCTCCCCATCCCTTCTTGGATGGTGACCGTCGCCTCGACATGACGACCGCCTCATCTCTGCCTCGTCATCATTATTCGGATCGGCTACCCATTATCTCCATCCTTATATCACGACCGCCGCCCCGGCCTCGGCGTGATGATCTATCTCAACACCGGCTTAATCAGCGCCGAGTGTGTTGAGCTAGCGATCAGGCTCGCCATCCCTTCCTGGATGGTGACTATCGCCCCTACATGGCGACCGGCTTATCATCGCCTCGTCATTGTTATTTTGGATCGGCTCCTTATCACGGCCGTCCTCACATCACGATCGGCCCCTAGGCCACGATGTGATGTCCTATCTCCGAGACCGGCCTCTCATTGCCGAATGTCTTGGGTTAGCGATCGGGCTCGCCATCCCCTCCTGGATGGCGACCGTCGCCTCTATATGATGATCGGCTCAGCATTGCCTCGTCATCGTATCATCAGACAGGCGTCCCACGCCCCGTCCTCATATTCGGACAGGCGTCCAACGCCTCGTCCTCATATTCAGACAGGCGTCCAACGCCTCGTCCTCATATTCAGACAGGCGTCCAACGCCTCGTCCTCACATTCAGACAGGCGTCCAACGCCTCGTCCTCATATTCAGACAGGCGCCCAGCGCCTCATCCTCATATTCAGACAGGCGTCCAACGCCTCGTCCTCATGTTCGGATCTAGCAAACATCTTGCGGTCTCCGGCTCAGAGACTAAAGGATCTCAGATCTCATCTATAGGCCCCTCGGCCACATCTTGCTCTAGCATCTTTATTTGATGACGAAGGGCTCTCATACAGGCCCATCGGCCATATATCTTGCCCCGTCATCTTTATTTGATAACGAGAAGCTCATCTATAGGCCCCTCGGCCATATACCGCTCTGTCATCTTTATTTGATGACGAAGAGCTCATCTACAGGCCCATCGGCCATATACCGCTCTGTCATCTTTATTTGATGACGAAGAGCTCATCTTTAGGCCCATCGGCCATATATTATTTTGTCATCTTTGTTTGATGACGAAGAGCTCATCTACAGGCCCATCGGCCACATATCGTTCTGTCATCTTTATTTGATGACGAGGAACTCATCTATAGGCCTCTGAGCCATATCTCGCCCTGTCGTCTTTATTTGACGACGTGGAGCTCTTATGCAGGCCCCTCGGCCATACATCGCCCCGTCGTCTTTATTTGACGATGTGGAGCTCTTATCCAGGCCCCTCGGCCACACATCGCCCCTTCGTCTTTATTTGACGGCGTGGAGCTCTCATATATGCCTCTCGGCCACTACTCCCAGTCATCTTTATTTGATGACGTGGAGCTCACATCGGCCCATCGGCCTCATATTCTGGTCATCTTTATTTGATGAACCAGACATCATATTATGGACGGTCGCTCGACCCATCCCTTAGTCATCTTTATTTGATGACTAGGACTACTGATCATGACGAGCTACCCACATCTATGGATCGGCCTCTGCCATCCCCTCGGCAGACGGACACCGCTGCAGCTCCACCTCTAGGCCGAAGGGCTCGCACCTTTTGTTTCGTTCTGGGGGCATCCGATGTACTCTTTTTCCCTCATTAGGATTTTTTCCCACAGGGTTTTTCCTAATGAGGTTTTTAACGAGGCATCTCCCCATTGTGGATCAAAGGGTGTCAACCCTCGGCCCCCTGTTGCAGACATCATCAGACATGCATTACTCAACTCCTCTTCACCTCATTACACTCGCCTCAAGGAGTGGGGGACTGGGAGAGCGGGGGACTTAGCGCCTCCGTTACCAAAGAAGCAGAAATTCAAAATTTTTTGCAAGGATTGCCACACGCACCGACGACATCATCATATCACATACATATTCAGCTGCCACATCGGCCAGTACATATACATAGCTTCCCGGCCTCAAGACCGGTAGTGATGATCTCTAGCCTGCGACCTTCGGCTGAGGATTCTCCCACAGGGTTGCCTCAGCCAGGGCTCACCAGTGGGATCGGATCATCGGCTTGGGAATCCGGGCGAGGCGCTTCGACGACGACAACAGTTTACTCACCGGACGACGACAGATCAGCACACAGTTCTACTCTCTTTCGCTTCGAGTACTCTCGACTCAGAGAGTGGGGGACTCCTGATAGAGTATATAGACTCGGACCCTGGGTATCACGACTATTGGGCCCAGACAGCGGCCCGGACAGCGGCCCACATATGTTCAGTAGATAGCATTTATTTCCTTGTACACTACATTTATTCATATGTACACATTTAAATAGATTAGATACTATTTATTAGCCATTTATTGGCCTTTTATTGTAACTGGGCCAGCCAGGCCCAAACCTGGAAGCCCAACCCTCTTTTCTCCTATAAATACTCCCTATGGGAGCCATGTAAAGGGATGGTTGAATGGTTGATTGGAATTCATTATACATATCACTTTATCTCTCTAGCTCTCCCTTCTCTCTAGATTAAATAATCTATCATGTAGTATGTACTCCGTATTATTTTTTATTTCACCCGGCCCCTCTCAATCGAATCCTGGCTCTGTCCCTGACAATACTGACCTCATGATGAAAGTAAATAATATCCATGTTACTCTTATTTCAACAAGAAAAACATAAGTATTCATATTTTAAAATTACAAAACATGTTGTTGAGAGTCGATTCTTTTCCGGCTCAGGTCCCCAACCTCCAGAATAGCTCACACACATCAATCTAGGCTAGACCATAACACATCTCCATGTTTTATCTTCAACCACTAAGTACCTCTCTCAACTCACACACAAAGGAAAGGAGAAGGGGTAGAGCACTGCTCACTACTCTCAGGATATCTCACGCAGGCTGCCCTCACAAGGAAGAAGAGAGGTACATAAATAATAGGCTGGCTAACAAGGGACACTCACGGGTGATGCAAAGACAAAGGAGGACTGCCCCGGACAACTCAAAGGGGTCACTCCATGTAACACCCCGGCCCCGTGGGACCCCGAGGTAGTTACTCCGGACCAATAGTACTGTCCTCACAAACCGCCACTAGCCTTCTACGCGCACTTTGTCCTCACTCATGCGCGCCCTGAGAGACTTCCCAGGGGGTCACCCATCCCAAGACTACTCCCGTGCAAGCACGCTTAACTTTGGAGTTCTTAGTGATGAGCTCCCTTAAAAGGAGATGCATCTTGTTGGTATGAGTAGTACTATTAATCCTTTTCAATTAATCTCGGGTATTACAATCACCCCCACTTAGGAACGCAACGTCCTCGTTGCGCCCTTAAACCAATCTCAATCAAAAATCACATAACACAACTTACTCAACTGTTAGGGTTCAAGGCCTTGAGATGCTGATGATTTATAACAAAAGAATAGTTTTTTGGTGCCGAACTTTTATACTATTTATCCCCACCAATACTTCTATTACTCAAAGAGCATACTAGATCCCAACATGAGCTCATTGGGATACTCTGATCTCTACAAGTACTCGTACATAAATGCTAAAAAGAGCTTGTTGGTACCATATTCTATGTTCTGTTGAAAGTCTCATACTCTAGATCTTATTGTATTCAGACACACTTGACAAATGCTTGTATTGTGTATAGGAGGTCATAACACTCCTAATTTACCAAAAACTAGTTTAATTAATCCTTCCACTCATCCCTTCTAATTTAACATCTAAGAGCCTGTTCCATTAACAACTTTTGAATCACGTATATAGTCTTTACTAGTAGGTCATGATAGGGAAATTTAAGTGATGACACCCAATGTATTTTGGTAACCAAATGGTAAAAATCATATGAGGATAACCTTGGTAAAAACAAATGTACAACACCGTTTAAATCTCAGTGCCAAAGGTTGAGAATACTCTGAAGATCTCTTTGAGAAATTTTAAAGCTCAAACTTTCTCCTGACACATACTTTTGAGAAAATAGCTAAATACTATACTACTATATCATTTAAAAAATTTACTTATTTGACTTTTAGTAAAATCACTGTCATTTGATTATCATTAATCACTTAACGCATAAAATGATTAATCAACACATTTTAAAACTTATTTTAAAACAAGCATTTACAACCTAAAGACAACACATAATCTGACCATTGATCATATTAAAGCAGTGTCTGACTACCGGTATCTAGTATTCGAATCATCAAATTGATGAGGGGCCCTCCCACCAACTCAAGATTCCAAATATGAAATACCGACATTCAACACTCAAGAAAATCATGCAACTTATGATACGTTTGATAAAACATTTGAAACTACTATTTAAGAGCTTTTGAAACCGAAGGTGAGGTTTCAACATTTTACACAAAAACAATTTAACATATAACTTATAACTCAATTTTTGTTTTTAACCACAAATATAATAAGATAATGTAATTAGCATGGACGTTGAAAAAAAAAGTCACTTAATAAATGAATAAAAATACATAACAAACTGATTTGTATGCTTATGAAAATTCTTACTCATGTAAACTCAATTACATGTGATGCTTTAGTCCCTTTAGAAAAAATATCAGACAAACTCTTTATTATTCTTCTTAATTTAAAAAAAATATATCTAACATGTCTTAGGGAATAAATAAACTACAAGCTATATAAAAAGATAGTTGCACTAGCACTGATTGTGACATAATGCAAGTACTTAATCATGAGAAAATAAAGACTATATGACACTTTTTTTTTAATTAACTCGAATTTTAATCATGAGTAACCTCTATGAGAAATATTTTCTATGAAAGATCAACATAGACTAAAGTCGAAAACTGCAAATACGTGATTTTGAGAGGTGTATGACTAGAACGATGGTGTTTTGTCTTTTTAGATAACAACCGTAAGTACTTCCTAAATGAAATAGAAGATCTAACTCAAGAATATAGGCGCTCGAATAAATTTTAATCTGAATAACTCGTAATAACACAAAGCTTTTACGAGTTGAGTACATATTACTCTTACTTGACTTTTATATGTAGCTCATACTAACAACGCTCAAACATATTTTCACATAGATAACTCTTAACATAAATAAGTACTTACTTGGAAGATGACGAGCACGTGTACGGTGACAAATGAAGTTACGGGACAACCTGGGCTCTGATACCAATTGTAATACCCGAGATTAATTGAAAAGGATTAATAGTACTACTCATACCAACAAGATGCATCTCCTTTTAAGGGAGCTCATCACTAAGAACTCCAAAGTTAAGCGTGCTTGCACGGGAGTAGTCTTGGGATGGGTGACCCCCTGGGAAGTCTCTCAGGGCGCGCATGAGTGAGGACAAAGTGCGCGTAGAAGGCTAGTGGCGGTTTGTGAGGACAGTACTATTGGTCCGGAGTAACTACCTCGGGGTCCCACGGGGCCGGGGTGTTACACTCCACATAAGACAAAATGGTCATATTATTGGTTAGGACAGATTCAAAAGAAGGGTAATAAAGTGAGAGTAAACATGTGATGCAAGTCAATAATAAAGTGGAAGGAGGCCTTTGTAGAACTAATACCTCCAATACATGTTGGAATTTGATGTATTTGATGTATTTGAGAAAGTTACCCATACTTTTACTTTGAAATTTGTCTTAGAAATTTGACCTCAAATACAACCCTAAGTTCCGCGTTGTAAGCGATGCATGCATATACGAAATCAACGTGCACTTGCTACTTGGCTAGCTAGCTTCGAACGTACGTGAGTAAGTACTGCGACATACGTGCGTGGAGCTAGCGTGGTTACATTTTTTCTCTTCTTTTTGTTTAAAAAAGGATGACACCCATCCCTTGAGAGTTCCCCAACACCGATCCAACAGCACGATTGGAGAATGTAAATTGGACTACAATCACAATTTGACAAATAGAGAGTGAAGCTCCGTTCCCAGTACTTGCAGAGACCCTCTTCTTTTTGTTTAACTATTTAAATTAACTGGGTATTCGAAACATCAAACATACGTGATACGTACGTAGTTAGATAATTAATAATACTTTTTGAATAAAAATGATATACTTGTTGAACAGTGGGGGTAATTTAATATGCAATGAGAAAATAATTTGCCCCCAATAAAGTTTTTAGAAGGACGGAGCCAACGATTCATTTGAGTGGTGTCAACTTTTTAAACTAAATACTACTCCGTACTTCTATAATACGATATCAAAAATAAAATAAATTTATTGATAATTACATGTCTTCCACAATTTTCGAGTCAATTTTTCAGGTTTTAAAACATGGAAAAAACTTTACATGATACTCCCTAAGCCCCGTTAAACACAACTTATGTGATGGTCAAATATGATGCTTTTATAGGTATAATGGCTCGGTTTGATGTCAAAATAAAATCGCTCTGTATTATATATACTATGTATATAAAAAATATTTCTTAAATAAATTTATTGACAAAAATATCACTAAAAGTTATTGTGGTATAGTGTCATGGTTAATACCAGGGGCGTTGCTAGGGGAGGGTCAACCCTGGTCCTGGCCCAGCCCAAATTTAAAAATGTCTATATTTTTGGAGTAAAAAATTCCGTGTAAATTTTTTTCCAAAAATATTCTTTGTATCGGCCCAGTCTGGCCTAGTTTCCTGGCTTCGCCCCTGGTTACTACACATAAGACATCACTTTTTATAAACAACTTTTATATTACAGGTAAATATCTAATTTTTTCATATATTTATACTTTGACCCCATTCCCATTATCGAGGCCGTGCTGAATTATTTCTTAGAATAGAATACCTTTATATAGAATTGAATTTTTTTTAGTGGTGTCAATTGACAACATTTCATTTATGTTGGTGGTGTCAAATTAGTTTTTAGAAAATTTACCTCTACATATATAACAACACAAATTATTTGAGTGGTATTAATTGACACCACATCCTTGCATGTGGCTCCGTCACGTCCCTGGTTTTTTGTTTGCCCCCCAATGGAATTTTTAGATTGCTCTCAATCCCAACAAAATTTTTATTGCAAAAATAATCATACGGAATATGATAGGTGTGGTATTTATTTAAATTGAGATTACTTGAACAATTTAAATCGATCTATGCATGTGTAAAAGATATGATACATATGAAACTGAACCAAATTGTTGTTAAAGTAAATCAATAGACCAAAAGTGAAATAATTTTAAATGCAATAATTTTGTAGATGAGTTAATCAAGACGTTTTTTAAAAATATTATTGAAACAAATTAAAAGTCATTTACAGAAATATATATGACTATAATATAATGCCCTGGTTACTTCAAAATTGAACACAAGTTATTAAAACTAATAGAAATTACTTCAAATAGGACTAAAACTATGGCAAAAACTCAAAATAGGACTTGCTATGTTTTTTTATTCCAAAATAGGACCATAGTGGTCCTATTGGAAACATACCCATTTCTTCCTTCCATTCTTACCCCTCCTTTAAATATTAGTAAAAGATAGCTAAAAGTCATAATTAAATGTTTAATTCATAATAAATTCGAAAAAATTTCAATAATTCGTAGAAAAATAATAAAAAAATTAATAAAATTTTTATAAAATAAAAAATAAGATTTTTTTTTTGAAAATTAATAAAAAATAGTAAAACTCCATAAAAAAAATTAAAAAAAATGTGGATACCTTTCCCACCGCCTGTACTACCTCCCTGAACCACCACCTCCGATCGGTGTAAAAAATGCCACTTTTTTTTAAATTCCACAAAAATGACATATTTCTCTATGAGAATGCCAACATTTTCATTCTGCCAACTTGAATCCTTTTGACTTTTGCCAAAAATATGGCATTCATAATTTTTTTGGCATTTTTTTACCCCGGTGACATGAGGTGGTGGTACCGCCTCCCTGCACCACCACCTCCGACCGTTAAAAAAATGCCATATTTCCTACAAACTTCCATTTTTTTTCGGAAAATGCCAAAAATATGGCATATTTCTCTTTGACAATGCCAACTTTTTTTTTCTTCCATCTTAAATCATTCTGAATTATGCCAAAAATATGGAATTCATAATAAATTTGGCATTTTTTCCCCAAATGACTAGAGGTGGTGGTGCTGGGGCAGCAGAGGTGGCGGTGACAAAAAAAATTTTGATTTTTTTTTTAATTTTTTTAAATTTTTTTTTAAAATTTATTATTATTCAAAATATTTTTATTAATTTTTTGGTATATTTTACGAATTATTATTATTATTTATTATTTTATTAGAAATTAAAACATTCCAATAGGTATAACGGTATATTTGTCCAAGATACACATAATTAGTCCTATGGAAACATAGTTTATTTTTGGTCCTATTTGTGCAAAGTGAATGACTTTTAGTCCTATTTTGATAATTAACTCTAAAACTAAAAGTACTAGTATTTCTTTAGTCATTACACTTCAGAAGTTAAGAGATCACATTTTGGTAAACAATACTCCGTATTTTTTTAACACTAAGATCTTATATATGTACTTATTTAGTTATTTGCTATGGGGTTCGTAGTTCGTATGCACCAAGATGTGCACGATAATTAAATAATTATACTCCCATCCAGTATTACATAATTGTCGTAAATGCAAGCACGCACGCATGCAATAGCTACGTACGTACCTGTAAGAAAATTGAGAATGAGGCGGACATAACCACCGTTAAAGGAAGGATAGTTGAGAAATATCTCTAAGCTGGATCCTAACCATGCCAACGGCACTTTCAAGTAAATGAGAACATTTTTAACGATAACGGAGACGACAATGAGGCACCGGGTTCGAAAGCACAACCGCCCGGGGGCGGCCTCCGTCGGAGAATCGAGAAGGTCTCGGGTTTTCAACCAGCCAGCTGATGAGATGATCAAGAACCTCAGGAAACCAGAGAAGCTAGCAGCTGCTCCTTTAGGTTTCACCATAACATAGTTGGAGCAAAGCTCTTCCTTAGCCGCCCCCATATATAGTTTAATTGATTTGAATTGAAGGCAATATATATATTTGATGATGTACGTAGTTAGGAACGTTACAAATCAGATAACATAGAATGAGTTATTTAGTACTACACCATATATATAGATAATTATGTCTTAGATTCTATATGTCCAAATTTAATTTGGATGTTTTATAACTAGCTTTTAGCTACTTTCCTAAATTCACAGTAATTACAATTTATTACTTACCCACTCCGTGTTGGTTTTATGTTCCCCGTTTGACTTGTGGTATTTAACGGAATTATTGTAGTGCCGTTAGGTATTTATTTATAAATGAGATCTAGATTCAGAAGGAACTAATAGCAACCACATTATGTTTTCTTTGGAAGGAACTGGGAAAGTTAGTAATGGTGGACTCCAAGGGAAAATACCAAAGATGATAAAAAGAAGACGTATGCAGTAGTAAGCTATACGCATCAAGATTATAGACTTCTACCGTTGAGGGTTGTAGCTAGCTTGTAGGATTTGAGAAATAAAAAACCGAAAATCGGATCGAAAAAATTGAACACGAAAAGTCAAAATGGAATGTAAAATCGAACTGGTTTGAATTGCTTTAGTTTCGATCAGTTTCCGTCTTCCAAAAACTAAACCCAATAAATTAAACTAATAGAAATAATGTTGAAGGAAATTATCTTTAATGTGCATTCATTATAGATAGAAAGTATCTCTAGGATTTTGTATGTATTTAATTAATTAATTGGCCCATTGGTCTATCTCTAGTAAAACCCTAATTCCTCCTATTTAATTAATTAATTGGCTCATTGGTCTAACTCTAGATGGTAAGGAAATACCGATCAGCGATATGTTCTGTTACTTGGGCTGCATTATTTAGAAGGACGGTGAGTTAGATGAAGATGTACCCCATAGAATCAGAACATGGTGCAATGGATGAAGTGAAAGAGTGCGTCAAGATTTCTATGCGATAGAGGTATACGACTAGACTGAAGGGTAAATTTTATAGGACAACAATTTGGCCTGCATTACTGTATGGCGTAGAGTGTTGGGCGGTGAAACAATATCACATTCAAAAGATGGGTGTGACAGAGATGCGCATGCTGCGTTGGATGTGTGGGCATACTAGGAAGGACCATGTGAGAAATGAGACAATCAGACAATGGGTGGGAGTAGCACCTATTGAAGACAAGATGCGGGAGTCACGCCTACGGTGGTTTGGTCATGTGCGTAGAAGACCGAGTGATGCACCTGTCAGACGAGTTGGGATGTGTGGAGAAGAGGCAGGGAAGAGAAGGAGAGGAAGGCCCAAACCGACGTGGATTAGGGGAGTGCGATGCGATATGCTTCTTCTTGGGTTGGATGAGGGTATGACTTTAGAGAGAGCAAAGTGGAAGGCGGGTATTCGTGTGGAGGAGTGTTCTCGTATTTTTTCCCTCATCTATTTTTCTTGTTTTTTAATTGTTCTTTTATCCTTATATATAAACATTATTTTTATCCTTTTTATTTTATCACTTTTAGGTATATTCATCTCTTTTTTATATTATCTTTTTTATAATAAGTTTTCTTTTTTATCTTTATTTTATTTATTTCCCTTTTGGTGGTGATATCATGTATCGATTCATGTTAGCCTACCCCAATATCTTTTGGGACTAAGGCTTGGATATTGTTGTTGTTTATTTGATCAGTTCGTATACCATGCAACCGTCCCACGGTGCGCATGGTATACCTGGGAGAGTGAAGAAGCAGTTCGTATATTTTGGCTTTGTTATTTTTTATTTCTCATTTTTTTAAAAATGTTAATGATTTTTTTATTTTTAATCCGATTTTTATAAAATTTATATCAAAATTTTTTATTTTTCATGATCTTTCAAATGAGACCAATATTGCCTATGTAATTTTAACATATTAACATTTGCGTGTAAAAATATGTAACTTTACGTGTTAAAATATGTAACTCACGTTCAGTCAGACCAAATGCAACTTGTGTATATAAATATGTAACTCTATGTGTAAAAATATGTAACTTTACTTAAAAAAATATGTAACTCTCGTTCAGACAGGTCAAATGCAACTCGTGTGTATAAATATGTAACTCACGTGTATACATATGTAACTTTACGTGTAAAAATATGTAATTTTACGTGTAAATATATGTAACTCGCGTTCAGGCATGTCAAATGCAACTCGTGTGTATATATATGTAACTCGCGTGTATAAATATGTAACTTTACGTGTAAAAATATGTAACTTCACATATAAAAATATCTAACTCACATGTATAAATACCTAATACAATAAATTTTTTATATACACAATTTTAAGATAAAATGTGATTTACACAATTATTTTTCTGTATTAAATTTAGTTTGGTTTTCTTTATAATCCAATACACATTAATATAATAGTTTGATAATTTCTTAAAATTACATAAGCAATATTGGTCTCATTTGAAAGATCATGAAAAATAAAAAATGTTGATATAAATTTTATAAAAATCGGATCAAAAATAAAAAAGTTATTACCATTTCTTAAAAGCAAAGGATAAAAACAAAGAAACAGTCCTCATCAATACTCCGTCGTTTTGCAACCGGGCGCACCATCCTCATGGTGCGCCGGTTGCACGATATAATTTGCGTTATTTGATAAGATTCTAGTTTGTATCCATTTTGGTTGGGATCTTTAAAATTTACATATTTACGTTTATTTTAGTTAGTGATTCATTTGATGTTAGTTTTAAATTTACAACATTCATAGCAGACTATGCTATTTTAGAGTGCTCTTCTCATCAGGCCGGCCTGACGGGCTGCTCCGTCCGGCCGAGCCCGTTTGGGCACCTTCCCGGTGGAATTTTTTGATGAAATTTTTTGAGCATGTTCCTCATCAAGTCTAGTTTGTCCATACCAAATTTCAGCTCACAATTCGATCGGGAAGCCATTCAAATGATTTTTTGACGTTGACTGCGTCAAAATATACATATAAAACTTCAGTCAACTTCAAAAAATGATTTGAATGCCTTCCCGATCGAATTTTGAGCTGAAATTTGGTATGGACAAACTAGACTTGATGAGGAACATGCTCAAAAAGTTTCAACAAAAAATTCCACCGGGAAGGTGCCCAAACGGGCTCGGCCGGACGGAGCAGCCCGTCAGGCCGGCCTGACATGAAGTTTCCTCTGCTATTTTATACGAAGTACTAGATAAACTTTTTCAATCACTTCGTTCTAATTCTTTTCCGATCGTGGTGATCTCTCCAGCGATCGAGTAGGCCAGGCATCGAATCATACTAGCAATTTTTTCTCTTATTCACGTATTATTGTGATACAGTGACTCAAACTATCTAATGATGGCATCAAATCTTAGAAATTTTTGGTAGAGGTATGATCCAATTGGATTATTCTTCTTTTCTAGTTGTGTTGATTTTGTTCTATTATGATGGTTCTTTCTCGGGTGCTGGTGCTCCGGGGTGGTTTGTCTCTCTCTATGTGGGGAGTTCTTTTGGTGTCCAGGCTAGCTTTGTCTGGTCAAGGATTTCCGTATGCCTTCTTCTAGAGTGCGAAGACATTGGCAGAACTCGTCCTCCTCGAGAACCACCTCCGTATTATGAAGAGTATTATGGAAAGACTATTTCAATTTTATTTTTCCATTAGCAGTACTTGTTTTTATTTTAGTTATTATTATTTTGTCATTTGGATTCTTGTTAATGTCTATGTTGTTAGTTTTGTCAGTTTGTTTGGAAATTTAGCCTTTTTTTATGTCATTGGGAGTGTTTGGATCTATGGGACCAGAGATAGTTGTGTCAAACCCGCTTCATGATTAGCGATTCGTGTTGCTCTTTCAGGGGTGACCATATCTAAATCTGATCATAGGGTTTATAGTCGTAGTTGTTGGAGATTAGTTGCTGTCGGATTTTTTTTCCTTTGATTGATGTAATGATTCTGAAACTCATGATATGAATAGAGGCAAGTTTCCGTTCAAAACAAAATCACTTCTGTTCTAATTAACATAATCAAATGCATTATAAAAATCATAACACTATTTTTAATAGATTTGACAATTATAAATTAGAAGTTTAACTCGATCTTCAATTATTTAATTGAAATATACTACAATAATAATGGATATAATTTGAAAAACGCATAACATAGTCTGAGTGGTGTTGTATGTGTGGAGAAAGTTAAGGCTTTTTCCATGAATATTACTATACCAAATTCATAAGACAAAATATGACATGTTTTAAAATTTTTCAGAAAAGTGACATATTCAATTACTAGTTCTCAGTGACTCACCATATACAAGTGACTTGTGACTCTAAAATACACTATAGTAACTCTTGTGCAGTTACTCATACACAGTGACTAGTCATATTTTTGTCCAAAAAACATAATCTAGTTATATTTTTGTCCGGGGAAACTCAGTTAGCATATTGTTAAGACGCGGGTTCCATCCTAAAATGTCAACCTGATAGGAGAAGTAGCCCGTGTGTTAATATAGCACTTTCTTCATCCAAATGTTTCCGGTGTGAGACATTTTAACACATATAATATAAATATCATTTTTTCAAAATTTAAAGTCATTATATATCGCATAATATTGTCAATAAAAAAATCACAGTGCTATTGGCATAAATTTCTTTCTATCCATATTAAAAATATTAGGTTATTGTGTGATTCAAATTTGAAGTGTATTTTGATATTTACATTTCGTCATATGTTAGTGCCCCCAATAACAACTTTTTTTGGCACTCTCCTTGCACCGCTCCGGTCGTAGTGCCACAAAACGCCGTTTGAAGTCACTCAGAGTTGGACCGTTTTATTTACTCCGTATGTGTTTCCGTTGGACCGTTGGTTACTAAGAAGGAATACTGAGTAAAGGTTTTTAACTTTGTACTAAATCCCTAAATATGAAACAATTTACTATCGTATAAATTATTGGGTTATATGAGCATATGGCTTCTTGGGGGTGTTATTCTTAATAATTTTGCAATTAAAAAATCAATACAAATACGCCAGTAGAGTATTAAAAACTACGGAGTACAAGTTACTGTATATTTTGCATATCTTTATACGGAGTAATGAAAACTTATTCTTTTGATGTTTATACGAAGTATTATATTGTTTGCTTTTGAATATGATTTGTTACTAGTGTATTTTTATTCAATTTATCTCATATTTATCATATTTTATGACTTATTTATATATAGACTGCATTAATACAGAATAGATATAATAAGAAAGAGAGAAAGTCTAGCCAAAAAAATGCTCCTTCCGTCTCGAAAAGGTTCATCAAATTTACTTTTCTTGGTCAACGACAATTAACTTTGACAAATGCTATTTTTCAATACAAAACTATTTTGAATATGAAAATTATATCAAAGTATTCATTATTCAATATATTTTCATAAGAGTATAAAATTTAGAAATTATATACAAATATAATCACTAAAATCATTGTCCAAAGTTTAGTATCATTGACCAGGAAAAGTCAATTTGGCGAACCTTTCGGCGACGAAGGTAGTATAAATTGTATTAATTTGATCTGTAAATATAAATGTGTTTTGTCTGGGGCCTCCAAGTCTCTCAAGCCGCCCATGGTCACTCTGTACACCTAGCCAGTCTGCGGTCGCATCTCATTCCTCCACCGCCGCCGTAGTCTCACATCTCCTTTGTACCCAATAACCTCCGGCCTCGGCTCCCCTAAGCCTCTTTTTACCCGGGGGGCGTCGAGGGGAGGGGGGTTTGGGGAGCTTGGGGTTAATTGAGATCAATCTCACTCTATTGAGAATTGAACCCGAGACCTCCCATATATAAACAAGAGTGAGTCGGCGACTAGCTGAGCTGACCGCTTCCTTCGGCTCCCGTAAGCCTTAGCGACCTTGCCCTATGTCGCTTCGGCCTCTCAGCGAAGGTACCAACCGGGTGGGTAGGAAGACCTCTCTGGCTCTCCCCGTTTAGCCAACGGAATCAGCACAGTTTGAGTTACCTTCGGGCAGAGACGAGCTTGGAAATGCCAAGGGAGGCTGGGCATGAGAAACCACCGAGCAACTAGATTGGAAATGTTGACTCGGTCAAGAGTCTCCTACCATTTCAATCAAGCACATGATGAGCAATGAATGTGTAAATGCATTTATAAACTAAACTAAACATATATATAGCACAAACATTATTTCTCTAGCACAATAAATTCATATATTATTGATGATATCAAGATTAATGCTAACATTTAACAAATAAAATTTCATATTTTATTTTAATTCGGTTTGTTCGGTTCAGTTTTGAAGGGTAAAAATCAAAACCGAACCAAACTACTACGGTTCGATTCGGTATTTTACATTCGGTTTCGATTTTTTAGCGGTTCGGTTTTATTTGGTTGCGGTTCAAGTTAATTTGATTCGATTTTCGGTTTTCGGTTTTTTAGACCCAGCCCTAATCTCTGTAAAAGATAAGTATTCTCCCACTTCAAATTACTTGCCAAATATAAATTTGATAAAAAGATGTACGAACAAATTATAAATTAAAATATTAATAATATAGCATGAAACTTCAAATGGGAGCGAGTCATCCGTTAAAAGACCCCTAAAAAGCGCGTGTCTGGCGGATTCGAACTACGAACCTGAATGAAAAATTGAGCTTTATTATTAATTTATTATGAGAAAAGTGTCAAATTGGTCCTTCTACTTTGTACGGAAAGTCAATTATGTTCTCGTACATTAACTGTCTTCAATTATAACCTCCTACTTTGAAAATTTCATCAAATTGACTTTTAGTAGGTAACCAGCCGGTCAGCAGGTAACCTGCTGACATGGCGCATATGTGGCGCATACGTGGCCTGACACAACGCATACGTGGCGTGCCACATCATTTTTTATTTTTCCTTTCTTTTTCCTTTTTCTTTCTCCTTTTTCTTTCTTTTCTCCTCTTTCAGTCTTTCCCTGATCCCCCTTTGAAAATTTCATCAAATTGACTTTTAGTAGGTAACCAGCCGGTCAGCAGGTAACCTGCTGACATGGCGCATATGTGGCGCATACGTGGCCTGACACAACCCATACGTGGCGGGCCACATCAATTTTTATTTTTCCTTTCTTTTTCTTTTTTCTTTCTCCTTTTTCTTTCTTTTCTCCTCTTTCAGTCTTTCCCTGATCCCCCCTTCTTCCTTCTTCAGACCCGTTTCGCTTCCTCTAAATTATTCTGCAGGTCACTGGCTACTGGCTAGGACAAAATTCGTCCGGCGTCCGTCGGAGAAGCTTTGCCGGTTTTCTTCCTTCAACCTTCGTTGCCGCCACAGAACCTTTTCCGGTTTCCTTCCTTCGACTTGCACTACCGCCGGAGAAGCTTTGCCGGAATTGAGAATCGTCGTTGACCCGGAGGATGGCACGAGAAACCTGCAACCGATTGGCATGTCGGCTTGGAGTCTCTGACTTGTGTCTCTCATAGGAATACTGACCGGAAGCCTTGTTGCCGCTGTCCATAGGATTCCGATCTGACTTGTGCCGGCCGGCGTGGTGGCAAAGGAAAAGAGGCAGAAAGGCTATGTTCAAAGAATCGACAAGTTTTGTTTCAGATTTAATGAGGATTGAGGAAGAGAAGAGGAGGTGTCTGGTGGACCTGGTGTGTAAATTAAAGATGCAATTGTGGATAAAATTTGAGAAAATTATCTAAATATAAGTTTAACATAGCAAAATTTAGTGATTTTTTAGTCTCTCATTCTTTTAATATGAAAGAAAACACTCTTAATGGCTGTTGATGGAAGGGACTAGATGAGCTCGGAGTGACTCCCTGACAAGCTTCGTTGATGGAAGGAAGTGCCCCGGCTCTGAAAATTCGATTCTTATCATTGGAGATGGTGGACCGTATGTGGAGTGGTATATTTTAACCACTTTAGGGAAAGGGGTAATTTTATACTTTAATAAATCACTTTTTTACCAAACACTCCAATTTTACCATTTTTGTATAATTACTTCTATTTACAAAGTACAAACACTATCCATTTTTACTATAGATCACTTTTCCAATAATCACTTAAATAAATCACTTTTGAGAAGTAGAAGCAATAGCAAACATAGCCTTACTAGCTTAAACTCTCCATTAATTTTGGATACCCCTATATAGATGAGAGTGACTCCAAAAAAGTTTTGGATACTAACATTTCTCGTATTGCGTCAAAGGATATGGGTCATATGGAAACTCAAATGATCCGAGAGGGGCATAACCCATCATCTCCAAAAAGATACTCATCACTTGCTACTACAAGCTCATCCATACTACCAGTTACTGAAGTTCAGTGTTTCCATTCACCAAGAGAAGATACCAGGAACGTTTTAGATGAGCAGGTTACTCTGACAAGGTGGAGTAAGAAACACAGGATTCGAATTCCAGGGGCGAGTGTGGATAATTTTGATTATTGGAAAAGTAATGCTGCTATAGGACTGCATTCTGATGGCTGGGAAATTCTCAAAACAGCAAACTCTTTATCCCAGGAAGTGTTTAATCAAGCCTTTTGGTTAGTTCATTACTATTTAGCAAGCTCATTCTTAAGATGCAATCAAGAAACATTGATGCTACAAAACTCAATAAATATAAACATTAAACACTGTAAACACAAACACTATGTCCATGTCAATGTATATTTGCTTTTTACATTTCCATGCGGATTCTCATGGTGGCTGTTATATATTCACTTTCTAGTTTCTATTCTGCTAGATAGAATTGATGGTAATTTGTTTTTGGATATCTTCATGCATGTGCTAATTTCTTTTGATCTATTCATTTAAGAAACACCCTTAGGGGCTTAGGGGGTACACGTTTAAAATATATTTGATCAGGTTTAAATGCTTAATAACATATAGTCATATTGATAGACATGATGGTATTATAGATAGTATATACCCAAAATGTCATCTGTTTCATTTTTCTTTTGCTATATGTTCTAGAGTCAAAAAGGAAGAAACAAGGATAAATTTAAGAACTTGCAGAAGGCAAAAGCGGAGGCAGCAATCCATAAATTTGAGGTTTTTGTTCAATTCTATCAATGTCTTGATTCAACTTTGTTTGTTTTTTCTTGACCAAGAATGCCATCTAAGGTTTTAAAAAATACTACTATATCTTTTTGAAATTTTAAAAGAAATTTCGCAAATAGGAGCAAAACATTGTAATTTTCCGACGCGATTTCCACTATGGGTCCTCCAGAAACAATCTCTCTGTACTAGTACAGGGGTAAGGCTGCGTACATCCGACCCCCTTACCCAACCGTAGGGGGAGCTTTTGCGGCATTTTTCGTCCACTCACTACTTTTTACTCCTATTTTGGGAGTTCTAAACATAGCTACTCATATTTTTGCACTTCTACCTTTTTTAATCCTAGTGTAGTGCTTTTCTCAAATATTTAACTTTTGATTCTCCTTTTGTAGTGAATATGTACACCATGAATAGTCGCCACAATTAATTAATAAAATTAATGATATTAATAAATGTAAATACAATTTCTGCAAGAGAAAAGAAAAGTTATTATAATAATGATTAATGAATGGTACACTTGAAAATAGCAACATTGATTGTGTTGAGTTTTTTCTTGCTTACATCTACAGCAGAAATGAGAACCTCAATGCTGGCAGCTCATAATCAAGAAGATATAAGATTCTCTTACAGGGCCTTAACTCGATCTCCATCGGACTCATCATATGGATTCATTATATTTGGTGGCTGCTTTACATGCCATGCATTTTAGTTATTCTGATCCTATCTTTTCTTGCACATGGAGCCTAATTTTGCAGGTAACATCTTTACGACACTTATTTTTTAATATTATTTTGGCAATTTTGTTTGTTTTCAATAACTCTTTAAGATCTAAACTTTGTGAGTTGTAATGCCTAGCCATGTCATTTGTCACAAACTGGTGAAAAAGTGATGGTTTCTAGTCATTGCTTTAGGATCTTGTATCGTGAAAAAGAACCTACCCAATTAGCACATGTAGAGTTAGCTTATCTATTTCAAGGTTTATGGGCCATACTCTGTTATCAGCGTATTCCATGACAAGAATAACTTCATAATAAGAATAGCAAACAAAAAACATAGAAAATGCTTTGTGTACACATTTTGTACATTCGTCGGTCTCACGCACAAAGAATTGTCTGTCCGCAGACGACTCTGTAAAATTGTCTGTGGACAGACAATATTTTGTGCGTGAGACAGACGAATGTACAAAAAGTGTACACAAAAATGTATACACCTAGCACAACTCAAAAACATATTTTTCCTAATAAGCAAAAAAGGCTACTCACAACATACATAGGGAGTAACTATTGGCCATTTGGGCCTACTTTTTCTTCTACTTTTAAGGATCTAGGGTCAGCCCTGGGTATAATCATATATCATTGGGGAATCAAAGAAGTGTCTATGGATTGGGTATAGTATGTACTTCGTATATATTAATGGTTTTGAACAATGATATATATGATCAATGCTCCTTAACATAAAAATGTAACAAGCAAACCAGAGGAGGTAAAATAATTCCTTACCAATTATATCTGATGTAAGTATATCTATGAATCTTGTAGATCAATCACATTTTAGACACTGCTGTTGAGCCGGTTCTGGGAAATGAAGTGATGCAGGTGGCGTTCCTAATCGGATGAGGTTAACATAATCTTGAAACCCATGGTCAATTAATCCAGTAAACATTATCCCTATGATCCTACATATTATTAAGACCCACCCCTCTCTGTAATCTTCCCCGAATATCCAAGGAAGCATAAATCCTCTCATCACCTCAAAAAGAGCATTAAACTTCTTAGGGATCATCCACAGCAGTGAGAAGTAGTTCATGTTAGGTTCTTCCTCAAGAACCTGCATTAGACCCAGTAGTTTTAGGATCTTCATGACAAATAACTCATAACACATGCACACAGATGCCAACATTGACAAACAGTGAAGTACTCCGAATGTTGGATTATTATTAACTTCACTGTATGCTGATCATTAAAAATGACAGAAATTGTGTAATGTTGTAGAACAATATTTTTCTTTAATTTTGCTCTGTCTGGTAATAGAGACAGGGCGCGCATAATTATGCCAATCCATAGCTATGACACTGGAGTTGGAGTGTAAAATGCGTGCCTTATTTGTTGTGTACAACTGGTAATGTTGTTATTCGTTGTGACCTGTGATTAGTATCATTAAGTACAATTAATGTCATTTGTGTATAATATTAATGCCGTTTTGTGTATTGAAGTTTGGCCAAGTAATGCTGTCTCCAAAAATGAAACTGATTTTTTTATTGATAGAATTGTAAACAATCAAATATAATATTTTTGTTTGTATGAATTGTGCTTTCGACGTACGGCAATGCCTCAATCAAGGGAATACCCAAAATTATTTTCTCCAATAAATGTAGTCTTGTGGTATTGGGATTAAGTGATGTATACTATACGTGAATATAAAGCAAACACCTTTAGGCTCTGTTTGCAAGTGATAGTGTTTAAATAAAAGCACTTTTTGGGAAAAAGTGATTAGTAGTAAAAGTTGGTAGTGTTTGGTAAAATAAGTGATTTTTGTGTAATAGAAAAAGTAAAAAGTAGATTCTACTTGAATGCAGAGTAAAGTAAAAGTTGATAATGTTTGGAAAAATAAGTGATTTTTTCATAAAAAAAAAAGTCATAATCACTTAAAATAAGGGTTTGCAAACAGATTCCTAATATGTACAAATAGAGTACTAGAGTACGTAGTAGATACCTTGCCGTGGTAGAAGCTGTTGTAGTAAAGGCAAGGTCCAAAGTGCCTAAAGAAGTTAGCCTCATCATCGTAGGGCACCCTAGGCACAATGTCATTAGCATAAACATACCTAAAATAACGTACCCCATATTTCCTCAGTAGGTTCTCCCCCACGAACTTTCCAAACTCCACATCCCCCACTCTGGGCTGCCCGAAAGTGTAAATCCCTTCCAGCCGGCCCAAAAGCCCATCCTCTTCCTCCATGGCCAGAACCGCTGCGAATAAAATTGATAACGCCCCTCCTAAGCTGTGGCCCGTCAATATAAATTTCGCATTCTTGTTAACGGAAATAATTTCTCTCAACTTCTCCTTTATTTCGTAGTAAGCGAGCTCGGTCATGTCTGGGCCTCTTTCTATCCCGTTGGGCCGGACGTTGTTCTTCCGTAAGCCCAAAGCCCGCATGAACCCGGCGTGGATTCTGCCCACCCCTTCGATCTTGTACCAGGAAAGGTCCGCATCTGTCCGCAAATCGTCAGCGCTGAAAGGCTCTGTTCCTCTGAACGCGACCACGACTAGGTTTGGGTCGTCGGATTTGTCTTGTAACATGATTGCTTGTGTTGATTTATCCTCGGCATTGTCTGTTCTAATCATAAACAGAAAATTATAAACAATTTTTTAAGATGAAAGTAAAACTGTACTCCATATAACAAAAGGGATAATCCAAGAACCACATTTACTTTAATTTGGACAATTGAGATATGACATTGAATTTGAAAATGCAATATAAAATTTCAATGTATGTACTATTTGAGGGACAAAAAAAATATGATTTTCCTATGATATACGAAGTAATATAAAATGCACTATTTATCATAGATACTCCGTACTAGTTTTAGGATTTTAATGAGTTAGAGTAAGTAGTCAACACATCAATGAGATCAAGTTGCACCACAAGCTAAGTCGAATTACGTGAACTATTCGGGTTTTTAAATAAAAAGCCGTTTGGTAACACTGAAATTGGCTGTATGACTGATTCTGTTGAAATTTATAAAGTTCTGGTTGAAATGGATGCATTGGCTGATTCTGGTGATTTATGAAGAAATTATATATTTAAAATATTTGTTATTAATAAATCAAATAAAAATTATATGACAAATCGCTAAAATGATCCTTTATAGTAACTTCAGCCAATACAGCCAGAAAAGTAACTCCAACCTTACTTTTTCTTATTATTACACAATTCAGCATGTGAAAGTGAAAGTTACGTGTTTGGTGAAAAATCGAGCTGATAAGCAGAAAAAAGGTGTCACCAAACGGGCTTTAAATTAAATAAGTAAGTTGGTACCTATTGGGGAGTACTTTGTCTATATGCCCTTCCACTCATATTGGATGTTTTTGTTTTTGTTTAGCATAATTATTAGTATTGTGGTTATAATTATTAGATTTAAATAGAATAAATGAAATAAAACAACCAAAGTTAACTAGACGGAAAGCGTATTTATTTAAATTGAAAAGTAAAAACTACTCCGTAATTAATGAGTAGTATAATCAGCTGTGCCGCCTGTGCGTTTGTGCGAGAGGCAATGTTTTTTTTTACCGCTATGGAAATTCTTGAACTCCAAAAACTCCATCTGTTAAAACAAATAAAGAAGTAAATAAAATATTGTAAAGAAGGGGTCCATTCACATACGTTCTCCAGATCGAGGTTTATCAGAATAATTAATAACAATAACTTGGTTATATTATTATCATAACCTTCTTAGTCTTAATCTTAATTATACACGTGAATGGGAGGTCGTACGTAGTTTTTAAGGTGTTTCTAATTTTGATGATATCCAAAAAAATTCAAAGGTGGCATGGAAGATCGACTGGAAGTGCATACACCGGCCGCCGGCCGGGGGTGTAAACGGACGTATCACAACTCTTTTTTTTTTGTCTTTTTCGTAATAATGGTATAGTAGCTTGGTGAACATTAATTCTTAACCTTTAGTAAATAAAATTTCGATAAAAAATAAACGTTTAGTAAATAAAATTTTGATTTTACAAACGAAGAAAATCTAAAAATGTGAAAACTGACTTGAGTAGTTTTTTATAATGACTTCCTTTATGTAATGTTCAATTCCAAAAGTCTTTAGAGATATTTTGACTTTGCAACTCCTTTTTGGGTGCTATTGTACTTGACATTGTGACATCCTATTTTCAAAACTTTTAAACTTTTCATCCTATTTTGTCTTTGCACTCCATTTAAGAATTTTTCTTCACAAAGTGTTTTGAAAATGGACATCAAACTCTAGTATCACCCAAAAAGTGGGATGCAAAGTTAATATTTTCCTCTGATTTACCTCTTTTTAATTAGTTAGTAATTATTCAAAAATAAAAATATACTCCATTATATTTTTATTGTAACATTGTCTCTATTTTTACATTGTAGTAACATTTTAATAGTAGTAAGATTTTCCATTATATATATGGACATTGAATTGCCTCTATTTTTACAATATTATTTTGAAACTAGTATACGACAAGCCCTAATTTTTTAGGTGATATTAAAATTTAATTTCCACTAATTAACTAATGAAATTAATTACTCGGACTAATATACAATTAGTTTCAGTTCATAAATTAAATTACCTTCCAGTTATTGGTGATTACTTTTTGAACAAAGGCTTTGTTTTCATACGAAAGCTTAGCAGCCATGATAGAAAAAAGTGGTGTATATCGGCTGTCGCCATTCTTGATATCGGGGTCAAAGTCAACCCTATTGTCCAGGATTGCCAGAAATGATCTGAAATTCTCCGACGTCGTTTCCGGCCTAACCATGCTCCCTGAAAACCCATGCACAATCACTCAAGCAAAAATCATTCACAAATTAATATATAAACCCATCAAAATAATGTAAATAAAATTCTATAATAGGAGTATTAATTTTTCTCTCAAAATACTTCGCATGACTCATTACTGTCATGTTTAGAAAATACGTAATACCATTGTTAATTTGTTATCAATTACCATCTGTGTCCCAAATTATTTTGCAAAGTCAACAATGTTAAAGCTAAGTTAAACCCTCCATTAGTGATAATTAATTCATTTGGGATAATTAAAATTCACACATTCACAAACTACATTAAAATATCTCTAAAGCTACAAAATCTAGATTAAAATTTAATTAAGAATTCATATTCTAATTAAGTGAATAAAATGAAACTGCTTGACTCAAAAAGTCAAATTTGCAACTCAATTTGGGACAAATGGAGTATTACATTATTATTGATTAATGCTTGACATGCATTTTCTTTGGGCCTAGCTATTTTCAATTTAATTTATTTGCTTTCCCTTCATTTTTCCTTTTGTACCTTTTTCTGCTTTATTTCCTATTTTCGCACTGTAATCTTTATTTCATTTTTCAATAAAATTTCTCTTTTTTCAAAAGCAAAATTAATGCTTGACAATCCCAAAATATAACAGTGATTCCAGGAAAAAACTAATTTACTAGATCTTATTTATTTGAAGCAAAATAAATAAGAAAGAAATTGGGTGTGAAATAAGAAAAGTAATTGGGTGTGAACTGTGAAATAAGAAAAGTAAAAATTGTTTGATTGAGATTTGTGCAATGGAGAAAGAAATGAACAAAGTTACAAATTTATTTCTCTAGAAAGGAATGCGACAAAATTTTTAGACAAACAAAAAAGTAAAGTTGACAAAACTCACTAAGACCAATAGAGTATCATAATACATACCTTAATTTGAAACTTTGTATACTACGTACTCCCTCCGTCCTAAAAAATTGTTCCCGGTTTCCTTTTTGGGCCGTCCCAAAAAATTGTTCCATTTTCCCCTTTTGGAAAGTTTTTTGTGGTTACAATTCAGTTACATTTTTCATACTTAACCACAATCATACATTTCTACTTTACTCTCACTTTCTTAAACTCCGTTTCAAGTCAAATGCGGAAACAATTTTTTGGGACGGAGGGAGTATTATTTTACAAAAAAAACAGAACTCTATATATAGTTCCACACTTCCACGTTCAGCGGCAAGCGATGCATGCATGTATGAAATCAACGTGCACTTGCTACTTTGTTGGCTAGCTTTGAACGTACGTCAGAAAATACTCCGACATACGTACGTGGACCGTGGTTATATTTTTTTTCTCTTGTTTTAATTTTTAATTAACTATTCAAATTGTATAATAGGGTATTACAAACATACTTACGTGCTTGGGTAAACAATTTCTTGACATGCTTTTTGAGTTGGACCCTTCCATTTGATCCAATATAAATAGTCATGATGGATTAATGGGGAGCGACCGGGCCGGGTCTGGTGTTTTTGAAATTTAAAAAGAAATTACCATTGATATAACATTGATCATCATAAAATGTGGGTCTTAAAATTGGTGTTTTATAACCCCAATTTTTGGCTGATCAGCTAATTTTTTTGTTAGACACAGTAACTTTATATTTCACATGATGAGTAATGTAATAATCAAAATAAATAAATTTAGAGTTATTTTTCCTGATGAATTGGCCGAGTTGCTGTAGATTGATCATTTCAGCTATTTTTCACATAACTTTTTAATTATTTTAGTAAAATGCGATGTATATTTTAAATACTACACATACTTTTTCACAGTTCAGTAGATTCAGCTAATTTAGACAATTCATCTAGAATTATATCAATTTCAATAAATTCAATCAATTCCAGTGTTATCAAACAGGATTTATACTTCGTATATCAATTCAAATTTTAGTTGAATTGGCATACATGAGAATATTTAACTTTGCCATTAAGCATTCAAGCGGAAAGTCTCGGGTTTTATAGTTTCAACTCTCAACCTATGAAGGATTTTTCGAAATTATCTAACGTGGTCTCGTCTTATAGATATGATGGAGTATATGGCCCAGGAACCCCCGGCCCATAGACTCCTACTTCTCCTACACAAGTCCATTGAGCCCAGAGAACAACTCAGGCCCAAATGCAACGGCCCAAGCCTCAAGATGGCCCAGAATACACACTAGGGTGCCTTCGGCCTCCTTGGCCGAAGGCTCCAAAACTCACAGGATAGCCTTCTCCGGCATAAGAAGTTACTGGGAGAAAACGGCGAAAAACATGAGCATTCGGCATTTATCAAGCCCTCAGTATCAGAGGACCCTTCAGCTGAACCAAGCCTTCGGTCACACAAGGCCTTCGGCTACACAGGGGTCCTTGGTCACATGGAGCCCTCGGCTACACGAGGAGCCTTCGGCCAAACATGCTCAATCATCGAAGATTCCTTTTGGAGACAGCCAACCACCGCATTTAATGCCACGTCACATCCGCCAACCGCATTCAATGCGGTTAACGTACCACTGCCGGTGCCACCCGACTGATGTGACCCTTCGGCCGTTGGATTACTGACACGTGTACTCTCATCGCATTTATTGCTGCTATAAATAGCAGCCCTTATTCACCTTGTAGACCACGCTGAGTTCATTTAATAAAATCGACTCTCTCTCCTCCTAATTTGCTCTGACTTCTCTCTAGTTATTCCCGCAATAACCCCTCGGATAAGATACCCCCGGGTAGCCCATCCATCAAGATATATATATATATATACAGTGTAGTATGTTCTGTTTTGGACAAAGTATATATTTTACGATTATTGAAATCTATGTATGCTGTGCACTCTGTGTATTTTATAACTATGAAATAAAGTCTGGTCTGGTCATGTTTGTTTAAGTCTGATTTGGCCCTATCTAGACTGTTTAGGTCTGGTCCGGAACTGAAAACAGTTCAAATAAAAACCACCGTTGTTGGCTGTGGATGTTGGGTTTTAATCGGTCCCACGTATGCATGCATGGCTAAGTTTTAAATTGTTTATGTTTTTAATTAATTTAATTAGTTGCAATTGGTATTAGTGGAGTAGTGGTAATTTCATGAGTAGGTAATTAAGAAGTGGAGTAGTGGAGTAGTGAACTAGTTTAGTTAACTACCTAGTGATCTCCTATTTATACTTGCATTTGTCTTTGTATTTGTTTTAAATTTTAATGAAGTAAAGTTGCTGCATGTTCATTCCATTCATACTCCGTATATACTTTGAAATATTAAACTATCCATTTCTTCTTTTGCACATAAAGTGCTCGATTTATTTGTTTTAGTTTAGTTACATCTTATATAGTTTTCCAACATTTGGTATCAGAGACCAAAGATCCGTTTGAATAATTTTTTGAGGCGTTCTTGATCGTTCGTTGAAGCATCTCAACGGCGGCCCTGTTTTGACTTGATCGGGTTTGTTCCAGCGTTGTTGAGAGGATAACCGGGTGCGGGATAAGCGGACAGAAAGAATTCATAGCAGGTTGTTGTGATTCGGTCCGCTTTGCGGGTGACGGAAAACGGTAACGGTGGTTGTGACCGTGTTTTCTTGATCGGTAGAAAATTCTCTCGGAACAAGCTTGATCAACAAAATTAGGGGTTGTCCAAACGAAGAATAGAATGGCGTTGGTACCAAGAGAAGGAGGTTCGATGACGTTTCAAGTTCCGGCCTTGACCCGGACGAATTATCCGGTGTGGGTTGTCAAGGTGAGAACGATCATGGATGCATATGGTTTATGGGAGACGGTCGAACCGAGGGCGCTAGGCGAACAAAGGGATCCAAGGAAGTCAAAACAAGCTCTTGCGTTCTTGTTTCAAGCGATACCCGAAGACATGGTGTTGCAAATGGCGAGCTACACCGACCCAAAGCAAGTTTGGGATGGCCTAAAGACGCGGTTTTTGGGAGTGGAGCGGGTGAGAACGGCTCGTCTAGCAACTTTGAAGAGGGAGCTCGAAGGATTGCGTATGAAGGAAGGTGAGACCGTTGATGACTTCGCCGAAAAATTGATCGGTTTAGCTTCAACGGCAAGTACCCTCGGATACGAGATTGAGGAATCAAATTTGGTGAAAAAGCTACTTGACTCTATGCCCAAGTCTTATCTCCAACTTGTGGCTTCAATTGAGCAATGCTTTGAGTTAGATGTGATGCTATTTGAAGAGGCCGTTGGAAGATTAAGGTCGTACGAGGAACGAACAAAAGGCTTTGAGAAGATGGAAGACAACCAAGGTGGTTTGTTGTTGGCAAGTGAAGATAAGTTTCACGGTTGTAAGCATTGTGGCAACGGAGGTTCTAGTCGGGTGACTTTAGACGTGGCCGGGGAAGAGGTCATGGGTCCGGGAGGAGTCAAGACGGTAATGGACGTGTCCCGGACAAAAGCCACGTTACATGTTACAAGTGTGGGGAACTTGGTCACTATATCAATGAGTGTCCTAAGTGGGGAAAACAAGATGCATATTTGATGGAAGAGGAACCGGCATTACTGTGAGCGAGTAGTATGGACTGACCGATTAAGGGGGTGAATGTTGGGTTTTAATCGGTCCCACGTATGCATGCATGGCTAAGTTTTAAATTGTTTATGTTTTTAATTAATTTAATTAGTTGCAATTGGTATTAGTGGAGTAGTGGTAATTTCATGAGTAGGTAATTAAGAAGTGGAGTAGTGGAGTAGTGGACTAGTTTAGTTAACTACCTAGTGATCTCCTATTTATACTTGCATTTGTCTTTGTATTTGTTTTAAATTTTAATGAAGTAAAGTTGCTGCATGTTCATTCCATTCATACTCCGTATATACTTTGAAATATTAAACTATCCATTTCTTCTTTTGCACATAAAGTGCTCGATTTATTTGTTTTAGTTTAGTTACATCTTATATACTTTTCCAACAGTGGAGTTCGTAGTACGCGCGGATGCACGAAGATCTGCATGATAATTAAATAATTGTAGTAATTGCATGCATCTAAGGGATTCTAAGCTACGTACTTACCCGTAAGAAAATTAAGAATGAGGCGGACATAACCACCGTTAAAGGAAGGATAGTTGAGAAATATCTCTAAGCTGGATCCTAACCATGCCAACGGCGCTTTCAAGTAAATGAGAACATTTTTAACGATAACGGAGACGAGAACGAGGAACCGGGTATGGAACCTCAACCGCCCGGTGTCGGTCTCTGCCGGAGAATCGAAAAAGTCTCCGGTTTTCAACCCACCAGATGAGAACAAGAACTTCAGGAAACCAGAGAAGCTAGCAGCTGCTCCTTCTGGTTTCAGCATAACATAATCGGAGCAAAGCTCTTCCTTACAACCCGGCGCCATAGTTTAATTGATTTGAATTAATGAAGGCAATATTTGATGTACGTATGTCTTAGCTTCTATATATGTCAAAATTTAATTTGGATGTTTTATAGCTAGCTTTTCCCCAGCCTTTAGCTAATTTCCTAAATCCACAGTTTACAATTTATTACTTACCCACTACGTGTTGGTATTATGTTCCCCATTTGACTTTAGGGGATTTAACGGAATTATATTGTGCCGTTAAATATTATTTATTTATTATTTATAAATGAGAGCTAGAATCAGAAGGAATTAATAGCAACCACATCATGTTTTCTTTTGAAGGAAATGAGAAAGTTAAAAATGGAGGACTCGAAGGGAAAATACCAAAGATGATAAAAAGAAGACGTATGGAGTAGATGTTTGGGAAAGATGATATAAATTGCCCGTTCTTAAATAAATACCACATATGAAATTTTACACTATTAACATGTTCTACTTTGACTACGTTTTATTTATCAATGTATTAATATTATTTTATGAAAAAAATATTGTTAAATTTGTCTCATTGTAAATTTTCAAAATCTATTTTATTTTTATTTTTTTACTAATTCAAAATTATATATATTAATGGTCAAAGTTGTGTCTCGGCAAGTGTGAAATGTTGACCGTTGCATTTATTTAAGAACGAAAGAAGTACTACATGTTTGGGTTATGCTAGACTTCTTCGGTTCAGGGTTGTAGCTATGGTTTCGGAAATCAAAAATAGCTAGGAACCACCAAAAGCCCAAATGGAAAGTAAAAAATTGAATCATATTTCCTATTGATAATTTGATGGAGTTTGGATCGGTATTCAGAAGCTGCTCTCTTCATCTAATCTGAATATTTTTTATCTGAATTTTTTAAGTTCTGATTTGATCTAAATTTTTCTGATGTGATTTGATCTGATCTGATCTAATCTGAATCTTTCTTGATGAACCGGTTGAGTCACACAAGAGGCGAGGGGGGTGAATTGTGTGTGCGTAGAACTACAACAGTTTTTCGCCGAGTTCTAGTGCGGGGCAAAGGGAAAACAAAAATTAAAGGACACAAAGATTTAACATGGAAAAATCCCTTGACTCAATAGGGATTAAAAATCCTCGACCTCCCTCGGAGGAATTTGGAAAAATCTTCATTAAAAGCCCTTAAACAAGTTACAAGATAAACTCTCCTAGTTTACCCTTCAGGCACTCCAACTCTAACCTCTCTAAGTAGAGTTCTCACTACCTTAACTTGTGGGTAAGGAGTCTCTAAGCTTTACAACAAAGCTCTAACTTCACACCTCAACCCTCGGAGGAATTAAAAGCATTCTCAAATGTTCCTATTAACCCCTGTACAACAGAAGAAATCAAATTACATAGGATAGAACTGCTAATGGAACTATCGCAGGCCAGTACTCGGTCTTCTATGGGGTGCTTGTATAACTCTCCTTATTTGAGTATTTTCTTCTCGGTTCAAGCACACCCTTCTTCTTGCTCTTGATCTCGATATATAGGCTGCTAGAGATAGATGCGTTGAGGCTTTCCTTCTTTGAGTGGATGGGTCATCAAGAATGAGACTTGTCTTGTTATAATTTGAAAAGCCTTTCTTTTATTCAAAGATCTTCTATCTCTCAAATATGGTGATCCTCGGTCAACCACACACACAAATATATATATATATATATATATATATATATATATATATATATATATATATATATATATAAGAGATCACATACTAACCATGCTTAAAATACTAACTTACTAACTCAATAATATGCAACACATTGAACTTCAATATGCAGTACAAATAATGTAAAGATGCACACTGTGAATTTCAATATGCAATAAAAACAATATGCAAAACTTTGAACTTTAATATGCAGTACAAATAATATGCAACACTTTGAACTTCAATATGCAGCACAAATAATGTAAAGATGCACCGTTTTTGATAGTTTGTAGGTTAGCATGGGAGGAATGGTTAGTATGCGATCTCACCCCTATATAGATAACCAAAATGGTATAAAGTATATTATGTGATCAAACATTCAATGACAATTCCACAACAATATATCAATATATATATATATATATATATATATATATATATATATATATATATATGTTGAGATTAGTAATCCTAATTCTCTAATTATGTCGTAATTTACAGTTTAGATAGGAAGGCAAGGCAATTAATCTAAGTATTATGTAATTGGGTTGGGCCTAGAGCTTTAGTATTCTCCTTCTTATTCTTTGACTTGGGTTATTTCCTGACTGGGCCTTCGGTACTTCTGTGTCCCGGTACTCTTTATACTTGGGTGATCCTAAGTATATTAGGGACTTCCGTCTATTGAAGGCAGGTAATTCCTGAGCAAAACATTACAACCCTAGACAGAGAAAGAGGTTGAGAACTTTGAGTTCTTGAGTGAGAACGAATTGATCCGCTGCTGGTTTTCTGTGCGAGAGCCTGATCTTGACAAGGACTGTTAAAGGAAGAGGAGTATTCCTGGGAATCTACGGAAGCAGAAGAAAGCTTGATCCAGTTGTCTTCTGAAACCTTAGGGTTTCATTCGGTTTAACTCTGAACTCTTTCTTTTATTTGTTTCTTGTGTGATTTATCTGACCGATTGCATGTACTGTATTTTGATTGCCTTGCAACCATCTTGATTGTGAACTATCTTATATCTGAGCTAGTGGAATCTTGGGACCGGGTTTCCCCTGTTGAAACCCCGCAGATTAGGAAGGTTTTCTTCCGAACTGCGTCAACATATCGTGTGTCTTTTACTTTTCTTACTGTTTCGATTGTATGTGCTAAGTTTGAGATCAGATCTGATTGACTGTGACTTCGTTAAGTCTGCGAACAAATTGGTATCAGAGCTTGGTGTGTTCTTGAAACCCTAATTGCAATCTTATGATTAAATTTTGGATTTCTTGAAACCCTAGTTCTTGGTCTGTCTTATATCTGAACCATTATTCTCTGGCTTGATATTGACTGCAGTACTTGTGTTCGTTGTCAGTGCCTCTCATCTTTGTCTGATTAAATTGTCTGATTCTTGATAATCTGTTTGTTCTTGAGTAACACTTTGGGAAAAAATGTCTGAATCTGGTGTCAAAATCCGAATGTTTGATGGCACCAGTGATTTCCCAATGTGGCAACTTAAGATGAAAGCTCTGTTGATGAAGCAGAAATGCTTCTCTGCAATTACTCATAACCCTATACCTGGTCTATCTGCTCCTGATCAACTTGAATTAAAAGATGCTGCTTATTCTGAGTTGATTATACACTTGTCTGATAATGTGGCTAGAAAGTTTGCTAGTATTACTGAGCCTAAGATTCTGTGGGAAACTCTTGAATCAACCTATATGAAGAAAACTATGTCTAGAAAGATATCCTTATTATGTAGGTTGTTTAACTTCAAGATGAATGTGTCAGTTTCTTTGCAAGAGAATTTAGACAATTTTCTTAAGATGACACAGGAAATTGAGAAAGTGGATGAAAAAATTAAGGACACCCATCAAGCTGTGATTCTCTTAAATTCCTTGCCCTCCCAGTTTGACAATTTTAAGGATGTAATTCAATATTCCAATGAAGAACTGACACCTAGCAAGATAATAGATTCCATTACGGAAAAGAATGATAGCCTTAAGGTGTTTAAGTCCAAGTCTGACTCAACCTTTAGTGAAAGAACTGAGACTAAGACTGAGGCCTTAGTGGTGAAGGGCAAACCTAAGAATAAGAAGAAAGGTCCTAAGAAGAATAAACAAACTGAGAAAGATAATTCTGAGAAGAAGGGCTTTAAATGTCATTACTGTGGTATAGAGGGGCATTTTGCCAGGGATTGTAGGAAGAAAAAGAGAGATAGACAAGGTGTTAACCCAAATCCAAATCCTACCTCTAACACAGAATCTGCTAATGTCTTTCAACATGAATTGCTTGTTTGTTCTGATTCTTCTTTGAAATCTGAGTGGATTCTTGATTCTGGTTGTACATTGCATGCCACTCCTAACAAAGACTGTTTCTCCTCATTGACTCTGTTTGATGGGGGGAAGGTTATGTTAGGAGATAATACTGCTTTAGATATTAAAGGCATTGGTAATGTTCCTTTGAGAATGTTTGATGGTGTTGTTAGAGTTGTGCAGAATGTTAGGTGGGTTCCTTTTTTGAGAAGAAATTTGCTTTCTGAGTCCATATTTGATGAGATGGGTTGTAGTATCATTACACAGGTTGGTGTTAAGATGGTTTCCAGAAATGGGAACAATCTTATCAAAGCTAATAAGAAGGGAGGTTTGTATATTGTTGAAGGTACATCTGAACTTAATCTTGCTGCCCCTGTCCCTAATGATGCTATTCAAAAAAAAACTGAGATATGGCATAGGAGGCTGGGTCATATCAGTAATTTGGGTTTGAGTAAACTGTTTAAAAATGGATTGATTGATTTTAAACCTAGTCCAGTTGAGTTTTGTGAAAACTGTATCTTTGGAAAGAAAACCAGACATTCCTTTGGTAAGTCTACTTATACTGCTTCTAAACCCCTGGAACTTATTCATGCTGATTTATGGGGACCTTCAAAAATTGGAACAATAGGAGGAAGGAAATATTTTCTTTCTCTTGTTGATCATTTTTCAAGAAAGGTTTGGGTATACTTACTGAAAACAAAGGATGAAACTTTTGAAAATTTTAAAAACTGGAAGATCTTGGTTGAATCTCAATCTAATTTTAAACTGAAGTCTTTGAAAACTGACAATGGACTTGAATTTTGCAATACTGTTTTCAATGATTTTTGCAAAACTAATGGGATTAAAAGGTTTTTAACTGTCCCTGGAACCCCTCAGCAGAATGGCACTGCTGAGAGAATGAACCGAACCCTACTAGAAAAGGCTAGGTGCATGTTATTTGATTCTGGTCTTAGAAACTCTATGTGGGGGGAGGCTGTGGTAACTGCTGCTTACTTGATTAATAGATCACCATCTTCTGTGGTAAATTTTAAGACTCCACAGGAGATGTGGTCTGGAACCAAGCCTAACATTACTCATCTGAGACCCTTTGGGTGCACTGCCTATGCACATGTGTCTCATGGCAAGCTGGAA